ACGGCATTTGGGCACAGCTTTCCCTAGCTTCTGCCAAAATATGCAAATGAAGAGATACACAAAAATAGTGCAAATTTTAAAAATGTACACTGATCTTATAAAATGTGTCACAGTTTTAAGATTTTATTTTGGGGCTGCTCCCATTAAATTGTCTTCCAGCCTTTGTCCTATTTTCAGATGATTCTATTTCTAGTCAAAAGTGTAAAAGAACAACCAAAAGAAATATTCCCAGAATTTATTTCATCACAGGAAAGTCCTGGCAATTGTTTAGCTGCCTCAAGACTTCAGTTGAAAGCAAGTGGTAATCAGACAGCACCTTAAAAGAAACAGCATCACAGACTATCACCAGAATGTCTCACTTCTGAAGTGCAGTTGCTGCAGAGAGGTTAACCACTTCTTGCATATTCTGACACACTTTTTGTACATTCTGACAGGATACAGAACAGCAGAATTGCATTCCTAATGGAAAAAGTCTCCTTACATTAAAATCAGTTTAAATCCATTAGTCATGTGGAAGTTCGTCCTGAAGCTGCTTACCCATACTGAGAAGTTGGTAAGACTTGCTGTAGCTGTAGACTCAAAGGCTTCAGGCAGCAGCCTTGGGTTAGGTCTGGCCTGCAGGAGGCTTATGCCAGAAGCCTTACGCAAATACAGCTGGATTTCCATTCCACTGGGCATTTAGGATCAGCTTTAAATTCTGCTATTACTCTTGTACATATACCCAGATCTCCAGATACAGCAGATGTCTTCCTTACCAGCAGGTCGTCACTAACTTATATCCTTACTCAATGAGTCTGCCAGAAATGCACTTTTTTAGACCCTGAACTCACCATTACCTTGATTTTGCAAACTCTGAAGTATGTCCTTAATTCTATCCATATGTGTTTTATTTGAAGCAATTTAAAAAGAATCAAGGAATCTTTAATGAGGTCAAAGGTGTATGAATATTTAAAGGTTTGGAGGACTATACTGCATATACATACAGCAAAAAATACAGTTAAGTAGTAAATAAAGTCAAATTAAGTAGTGTATGAGCAAATCCTTTTTTTATTTAACAACTGTTCTTCACCCAAAACTTGAAATGAACTTTCTCAAAGTCTGAGAAATTATGATTTGTGTTCTAAAAGCTAAATATCTCACCACTCTTTTCAGCACTTGTCAAGACTTTGCTGGCCAAATATACTTAACCAGATACAAACCAGACATTTGCAAAATGCTTGAAATCCAAACAGAAGCAGGATTTGGTAGAAAATGTGTTAGCTGATTGTTACGAGCTTTCTAGTCTTGTTTTGTAGGAGATCAGATGATCAGATGATTAACTTTTTAACAACAGGACTGTAGAATAGATAAATATATAAATCTTACCAGATTCTGGACCATACACATTCTTTCACTTCTTAACTCAGCTACAAGTCCATAGATATCCACAAAATCATGGTCATTTACATGTTGGGTTAAATGGTCAAGTGCAATATAAACACCTGTTCTTCCAACACCAGCACTGAAAACATAATACATAAGATAAAATATATTTTAATGGGGTTTTTTTTAGTATAAAATATTTTCTTACAATATTTTGGTTAAATTAAGTTTATTGTGAAAAGAAAACATTTTCAGAAAAAATTAAATCTTTTTCAATATTTACTTGTGTGTGTGTGTGCGTGTCTCCTTGCTGAATGGGATCAAGTGAACTCTGGATTTGAGTTATGTTCTGATTTTGATTTTACAGGGGATTGCATCAGAAAAATGAGATAAAACTAAACCAAACCAAACCTATATAAGTGGAAAAAATGATCCTACAGCTTTTCTGTGAATTTTCTAGAGCTCATTAATACAAAGAAAAAAAAAAATCACAAGATTTTGTGAAATCACACCTGGATTCTGTGATGCTTTTGGTATTTGAGACAATACAACATGGGATCTAGCAAAATATTTAAAAGAAAATACTTTGAAAAGGAGGATGAGTGTGCAAGACATGCTGGTAGCTAGTGTTCTTTTATTTAAAGGTTTGAAAATGAACAGGATTTTCTCAAAATCACTATCAGACTTCTCTGCAGTTCGTGTAATCAATGCAGGGTATATCACTGCAGATAACCAGGAAACGTATAGCAAAACTCTCTTGAACCTGCACGAACTACTGAGCAGAAAGTAATGAATGAGTTTTCTGGATATGAGAACACATAGTGCTGCTTTATAACCATTGGGAATTTGAGCACAGGAGGAGTATCTAGCCCATGGTGGCCCCTTTACGTATCTGTGTGGTGAAAAGGGGATAGGATTCACTGCAGAGGGGCCCCAGAGAGCACGAGGGTCCTCAAAACATGAAGACCGTGTAGTTCTCTCCTGTGATCCTCTCTCTGGACCCTGCAGTAGAGGGAAATGTCAAACTGTCAATGAAAATGATATCAAATAAAATGAGGCTTTATCACCCATTGTGGGTGGCACCTGTAGGACACTGAGGACAAACAAAAAGAACTCCCATGAATGATAAACTGGACAGTTAGGGAGGAGAGTAGTGGCACCAAACCCAGCTTTTCCTTCCACATATTTCCAGGCTCACACTGAGTGAGAATGAGGCAAAGAATCAATTGCAGACCTCTGAGTTCAGAGCATTATTCTGGAGTGTGCCCACTCATTCAGTGGGAACACCAACCTGCATATAAAATGCAGACACACTCACCACTTCCCTGAAGACTTAGCCTTCCCCACACACCTACTCTTTGAAATAGCAGTTTAAGGCTGTTGAGTATGAAATCAATGGGAACTATGACAGCTGAACACCTCTAACCACCAGATCATTTATTTAAGAGCCTAAATATAGATTTTAGCTGTTTACAGGCATCCAAGCTTGAAATCTGGCATATGTAAACCCTTATTCCTATTTGTCATTCTCTGTGGCTCCTGAATAGGTTCTTCCTTTTGTTGAAGTGACTATTTCACTGACATCACCTCAATGGGATTTCCACAAATAGAAGAACAGACACACTTTGGTGGCATTTTACCTCCTAGAAAGGACTAAGGAGCACTGCTAAAGAAACCTTCACTGCTGTCCATACTAGAACCATACCAGTGCATTCAGATTTCATTGTTCTTCTGGCAACTTCCCTGAGCATTCATATGCACTTGAAATTCTAAGATACTAAATGCTGATGTGGTGAATCTGCTTACCTGCAGTGAACCACCATTGGTGTATTATCATGTGCTCGACTTGCACGGATAAGTTTTACAAAGTGGATAATGGGTGCAGTAGTTTCGGGGACTCCATGTTCTGGCCAAGAAGTAAAGTTACACTGCCGCACCATCATGCAGTCTCCATGCTGAAAAGTATTAAATGAGGCAGTTTTTGCAGAAGAAATGTGACAGAAGATCCAGTAAGCTATATATAACCTTCTCAGCAATTTCATGTAAAAAAGAAAGTCAGAATAGCATAATAATTATAAGATGTACTTGCATCAAGGGATAATTTATTGTGCACAGATCTTATGGCAGGTGTTTTGCGAGATAGCACCAAGTCCATCTTTCAGGAAGTATTAATGACTTCAGCAGTCACTCTCCATTTGGCCTCAGTCACTATATCAATGTAATTTGTAGATTACAGATTGAAGTTTCTATAGCTCATTTACAAGTTTAGTGAACTGGGATGACAAATTTATTTAGGAAAAAACAAACATTCTAAGATTGGTCTAATGTAGTGAAAGCAAATACACATACGTTGTATATATACAGATATACGTTTATATATGTGTATATATACATTTATATATACAGATATATAAAGCACATACACATATGCTGGTAAACACAGATATATTTTCTAAGTGTTTGATGCCCTCTCAGAGCAGCGGTAATAGTAACTCAAAAAAAAAAGCAGGTCATGATCTGATATCTACATTAACTATGAGGGATGGAAGAATAAAAGCACAGAATCATGCCAAAGGCCTGTCTAGATCAATATCCTGTTTCCAACAGTAGCCAAGGAAAAATCTTAGGGAAAGTTATAAAACATGACAACAAGGTATCTACAGTTCCATAGAATATCCTTTCCATTCTCAATAGTTTGTGACTTGTGAACTGCCTCAGTCAGAGATGGTATTTTGAAATTTAATAGTACTTGTCAGAATTTTTGTCTACTAATTTACCCAGACTTTATAAAGCCCTGTAACTTTTTAGAATGCACAGTATCTTGCAGCAAGGAGTATCACAGTTTAATCAACTGTTGTGTAATGAACCAGTTCCTTCTTTTTTTTTTTTAAATTTATTTTGAACAAGCAACTTGCTCTTTTCATATTGCAAGAAACGCTGAACAACTGTGAAAAATTATGTGTGGCAACTACTTTGGGTCTATATTTTAAAAACTGATCAACATAAAAACAAGAGAAGAATGATTGGGAATCCAATATGGCAATAATCGTGAATGACTGGTCTCACATATGCTTTTCACCTTCACCGGAAGATCATCAAGAATGCATCTATTTGTGAATGGAAGATGAAGTACAATCTTAAATAGGGCACATTTAATAACATGCTTATAAAGGACACGGCTTCTTGTGCAGTTCACCTATAGTAAATGGATCACTTAATTCGGCTTTTCTTTCCTTTTTCTTTTCTCCTTTTCTTTTCTTTTCTTTTCTTTTCTTTTCTTTTCTTTTCTTTTCTTTTCTTTTCTTTTCTTTTCTTTTCTTTTCTTTTTTCTTTATTTTTTGTCCTCCTTTCCTTCTTTTCTTTTTCCTTCTTTCCCCCTTCCCTTCCCTTCTCATTTTGCTGGCATGCATTTTACTCTAAATAGTCCCTCTTCCAGTCTTGTTTACTCTATGTCTTATTATAGCTGGGAAAAAGTTTATCTTCTCTCACTCATTTTAAAATGTTCAATTGTCCTGTACTATGTGCACAACATATCCTTATGGGGCAACCACTGAGACAATCCCCTAACTGCTGTGTTCCTTTTGTTACGTGCATATGCCACAGGATGGTGATGCATGCATTTGGATAGCTGAGTTCAGGTCCTAGGATCTAGCTGCACTTCCTACAACACAGGTCAATGTTGGGAGTGCAAAAGAAGGCTGACTTTATCTTGGGTCATTATGCCCAGGTTGCTTTCTGAGCCTACCTCCTGGTCTGACTTAATGCTGGGTGCTCATTTTTCCATTATAGTGGAAACTATAGTTGTGGATCATGACAAAGATGAACATCTGTGCTGTACCCCCCAACCCCCTTCCCAGCACAAAGAGTGGGAGTAATACTGATGATTCGCATTTATATTGGGTGAGTCTCCTGGGGGTGGAGGCCAGTACGGCTGATGGTACAATGCAAAACAGCTGCACTGCACCAGAGAATCTTGCCCTTTAATCTGAGAGAGAGAAATGCAAAGGGATTTGTCTGATCCCAGAATGGTTAGGATTGCTCCTTTCTAGAAGAGACAACTGAGGTGTCCAAATAAAAACTTCACCTCCCACCAGATCAGAGGTTCAGTAACCTTGATAGGCCTTTCATAGCATGTCGGATAAATATCTGCGCTCTTTGTGACAGAAACTGGAGAAAATTCTCAGAAAAATAAACCCAAATACAGAAAAACGAGGCAGTAGAGTGCATACGCATTAAAAGATTAAAAGAAGAATACTGAGGGGTAGTTGGGTGGGATGGAGCACATCTGATATTCTTTGGGGCATTGGATGGGTTTTATTCAATCAGCTTCCAGTTCTGGCTTACCCTTTCAATTTTTAGATCTCTGATGGTCCAGTCTATTTGAATATCTTCCATCAATTTAGTAATCACAATATCCCCAAACACAGTCACTGGTTTATTATCTTCTGGCCAGTACTGATGACATCTTATCTGCAAGGAGATGATTACTAATTAACAATGATCATATTATAGTGTTGACAGAAACTACACACAGAATTTCCAATTATATCAAATGCTGTTAATTGGTACACTAGTAACATACCCGTCCTTTTTCAAAACATTGTGTGAGCATCACAAGTGTTTTCGCTCTTGTCTCCCATACCATTCTCCAGAAATCGCCCACTGTTCCTGGTAATGGTCCCTGAGTTGCAATAAATTCATTTGGACATAAATAACCCTAAGAAAAAGAAAATATTTAACACATTATGGTTGGCAAAGAAAAAAAGAGTTTGCACGTGACTCACAGTTGTGCCTGTAGCTATCGTGTACAAGGCTAAAACCTTGTCAGATGTACTAAATGACTTAGCATAGGCCTGGCTAATCATTGCATGGTAGATGGCCTTGGAAACCTAAGGAAATAGTGGCATTTTCTTCACCGTGTAAGTCAGCTGTGAAACAATGCTCTAATAAAGTTTGGGAAATGTCATCCTAATAGAAATGCATTTAGCAGAGAAACTACAGGGACATCAGGTCAGTAATTCCCATTTAAAAATATCTAAGCCTTTGAATTAGCCTTACTGTAGATCCAGCCAGAGGCCACCAAGAACTATGTCAGGAGGTGGCCAAGAAAGTAGAATTAAATAGTGTGAAGGAGCAGCAGAGCCAGGGAAACAACTAAGGAGCAGTCTGAGAGCTAGGGCAAGCTATACACCACACTGATGACCCTTTCCTCCCAGTGATTGTCAGGGATCTGCTGTAACTTAGGGAGGGAGCTTAAACAAATGATCTCTGATAAATAGTCTTTGAGAAACCTACTGTAGAGGTTGTCTTTTATATTAGTGTTGGCTTCTGTGGTTTAGTTCATTTATAAATTGATGTAAAACTTGGGGAGAAGGAAGTTTGTTGAAAAAAATCTGTGTAAATGCTGTCAGTGCCTGGGCTCTCATGGATCTGTTTCCTCAAAGAAAGTAAGCGTACCCTACAGGAACTCTTATGTAATACCGAAAGGCTAAAATAACAACAACAGCAATAATAGCAATAAATTTATGCTGTAGAGCTAGCAGTCTATAATATCACAGAGTTCTGCTGATTGGTCAAAACAACAGACACAGTGGTTTATAGCACCATCGAAGCTCCTTGTTGGAATTATAGCCCTATAATTCACAGCTGCCTGTTACTCCATCTATAATACACAGAACAGGTGGCAGTGAGAAACTATGTTAATCCTCCCTAGTTTAAGAGTGAGGTGAGAAACTATAACTCAGGGATGCAAAGCTCACAGTTCAGTTACTGACTTTTTCTTGTTTAACCAATGAAAATAAAAGTAGCAGCAAAGTTCCCATTTATTAAAACTATATACAAGACCTCTATTTCCCTCTCTTTATATGTATGAATATGTGTATACACCTAGGCAAATAGGTATGTAAATATACACACACATATTGTATATTTGCTATATGCATGTATATATTTACACTTCCACAAATATGGAAAGTGAGAGCATATAAAGGGCAAAGCTTTATCCCTGAGAAATGGTAACATTACAGTTGTCTATTCACTGATGGACAGTGACCTAAAGTGAGATGCCTGTGTGCAGTAAAGAGATGCGAAATCTCAGCAGGGAACACTCTCTGCAGCTGACTTTTGCTGCAGCATTTTGGAAGTTGCTGTTAGTGTTCCCTGCCTAAGCCTTGGCATGTCAGTTAGGAAGGGTAAAGACTCGGCCATGCTCCAAACTGTCTGGTCTCCTTCTCAATGGTTCTGTGTATAGTCTCAGCAACACAGCACGGCTCTTCCTATCTGCTGTCAGAACTAGGACATTCCATAAAAAGAAAATAAAAGGAAATAACTATTTCTACTTGCCATTGTATCATCTGTTTAGACTACAGTCTGCATGTCTTGCTATGTGTTTGAATAGGTCTTACTGCAAATGAAGTCTTGACCTCAAGTGAGACTACTGGCCACTGCTACAACAAATTAAATGCATAATTATAAGTCACACTTTGAGCTTCAACAGGACGAAAATGAGACAAAAATATAGATGAAGAATTTACTGAGAACACAGTCAGAAAATGGAAGGTGTAGGAGGAAAGGTGAGGATGAGAAGTACAGTATTAGTTTCTTATTCAAGAAGCCTATTTGCATTTTCCTTCATCATAACTTTCACAAAATAAGGGGCATACTAATCCCACTCACCAAAATTATTAGCCATTTCTATGAAACTTCTCAGTTCAGTTATCTTTACATTGTCCTGTTCATACACAAGAGCTCCAACTCCTGAACTAAGAGATCGGATAATAACTGTCTAAACAATTGACCTCAGTGGGAGTTTCACTATTGTCTTTAATGATAATGGTATGAGACAATTTATAGAAAGTAATTTGCTGGACATAGTTTTGCTTACTACTGAAAATCATTGCTTAGCAATGGATATGGGATAATTTATATTTTTAACTAATCATGTTCAATGCCACAGGAGTCATTTGAACAATGCCATGGCAACAGTAGCTGTAGTGAATGGAAGAAAAATTAGAATCCTGTTCTTCTTACAAGTTATTTTTTGACTCTTCTACCAGAAAACAAATACAGTAAAAATGTGAGAGACTCTCGACTTACAGACACGTAACTGGCATTAATGTAGTCAGATCCAGGAATACCAGCGTCAGGCATCAGCTTTACTCTATTGTTATTATCTATCATGGAAATAAAGTCTAGTTAATTAAAATATTTGTTCAAAAATTATAGACACATGTAACAAGTGATCCTGGAGTGCTAAGAAATCAAAAATACTGTTATTGTTGCTAATCTAACAGTACTGGACATAGTAGAACACTAATTACAAAGGGAATTTAACCAATTTCCATTACTGTATGGTCATCTTTTAATGTTCCAGACATATTTCAATATAATACTTTTTAATTAAAATGGTGATCATGCCAAAACCTCCAATTTGACATATGTATGGGAGGATCCTCTGCCTAAATGTAGCCCGTGTACTTAAAGCCATGCTGTTCTAGCACAGACAACCTCCGTGTGAATCAGACAGCAGGGTCAGGGGTCTGACAGTCTTTCCTATATACTTGCTGCCCAGGTCATAGATTTGAGTGAGATCCTGGCACTTTTACATTCTTTTACTTCTTTTACATAAGGTAAGCTCATTATTACAGGGAAAAAAAAAATAAAAAATGATTGGAGGTTTCCGATTTGGGCCCATGGTATGTATGCAGAAATGACAAAACTCAGGAAAAATGTCATCTGTGAATAAGTAAATGCTGAAACCAAACATTTGGTCCTCAATTTAGTAAAAATAAAGAGAATACAAACTTAAAGATTTATGAAACTTATCTGTTTATATTTTATTGTGTGTCACGAATATAAATTTTTAGTGACTGTAACTTAGAGTATATCTTGAACAAGGCAGTAGATAGCAGGAACAGCTGCTCTGAAAAGTTAATAGCACAGAATGTAGCATTATTAACCAAGGAATGCCATGCTCCCCATCTCACATCACAGCTAATGCCTAAAATAATAATGACATTTCTTGTCTTATTAACTGAAAAATGAAGCAGTGTTGAGTACAGAGAGACAGACTCCTGTCTCCTGTGATAAAATCTAGCCCTGGCTTATAAGTTATCATACAGTCACTCTGATCTTCTGTGGAACCTTTGCAGCACATGTACATATATCCACAAGAAAGCATGCTCAGTCTCCTGAAGTAGCTGAATGCACAAACATGTGGATTTTATATGTTTAAAAAAATTACTTCTCACTAAAGGGAAAAAAAAGGGAGGAAGAATGTTAAAGAGTTTGCTACATGGCTTGAATTACAAAGCTAAGAAACTATTGAAGCTACAGTTTCTTGCACCTGCATATTAAAGCTTGTGAGAGCAAGTTGAAAGCTACTTGCAAATAAAACTGTCTTTAAAAAAACACAATGAAAAGACAGATTACTTGACAGAAAATTATTTCATAATGTGGACATGATTGTGCTGCCATTTCAAAGGCAGATCAAACAAAAATACAGTTGCATTCCAAATATATACTGCACTATCAAAGGTAGAGAGCAAAACAGAGGAGTTGATCAGAAAACACACATACATGGCTTTATGTTTGCGAAACGATTCTTAGACCTATTCCAAGGCAGATCAGCATCAGTTGAAGCAAGGTCTTCAAGAAACTTGGGAAGTTCCTGTAGAGGAATAAATGTTCATTGGCAAACCTTTGCATGTCACCTTCAGTGAATATAATAAATGACACAATCATCCAGTAAGAAGAAGAATTCTTTTGTTCTGCAACAGAGTGCATTTCTAAGAACAGCTGGAAGCATTACAGAGCATTCCACTTCACTGTCAGCCCCAGTTACACCAGCAACGTTAAATGCAGCACTGCAGATAATGCTGTCAAGTTGAACAATTAAAGCTTACATGAACTTTCACCTTTACAAGTCTGGATAAAGTCAGCCTATCACCTTTTGTAGTTCTTTTCTGTCTTCTCATGAAGTCACATGCTTGGTTACCATGCTCTACTGATGCAGCCTTACTCTTGAATAATGCCTTTTCCTGACTTCTGTAGCTTGGGAGAGTTCTTGCCACAGCATGAGAGCTGATGAGAATTTAATTAAGTTGAGACAACTGGCAATTAGCTATTGTTCACGGGACTGTTTGTGAAAGGGGTGGGAAGAGTTATTTCGGGTTGTACTGCAGTTTCATAACTGGGCATTAGTTCTATTCCTGAAGGGCAGAGATGGATAAATCATTCATACTGAGGAACTTATTTGATGGCGGTGTTTGTGTATATAAATAGGTACAATTTCCAAAGCTGAGTAAAAGAGTGGAGACAACTTCATTACTTGTTAATGGAGAAAATGTATTAATGTGATGATCTCATAGTGGTGATAAGAGAATAGAAAACTCAGAAAAGACAGAATTTTGCCAGAATTTCTAAGTTAATAACTACATTAACTGTAGCATATTTTGCCTTTGTTTGACAAATGTTATAAGCAAGTCTATTTCAACATCTAGCTAAGATACAAATGAAGAGATCTATTTATTGCTTTGTATGAGTACAATACAAAATTTTGCTGCTTGCGCTGAATGAAAAAATAGAAAAAAAGGAGTGTTTTTATTCCAGTGTTTTTCTTTCATTGCTAATTCAAATATTTTGAATCAGCCTTATTTGATGGCTTCAAATATTAAGCATAATTTAATATGAGCACTAGCAAAATGAGATAATTTAAAAACTGATGTAATAAACCAAGTCAATAATTCATCCAATCTGATGTCCTATTTTGTACAACGGATAATGTCTGACATATAAAAGAGACCTCAAAACCCTTGAACTGTATTATATGCAATGTTATCCCATAAGAAATTTGTTTCTTTCACCATCTGACAAAAATCCTGTGGCCTGAAGCATGAGGACTACTTCACTTCTGTAATTATATCCTCGATAATATAACTGCAGGTGCTTCTGAACAGGAGGGGAAAGGTGGTTTCACAATGAAAGCAAAGGACTTTCAGACAAGGGACCTGACTTCTCTTCCTAGGTCTGACACATATTTCCTTGGGGAAAGAATTAGGGGAAGAATTGCAGAGAACAACTAGATGCTCATCTCCCTTTGAAAATTAACAAGGGACTAGATCCCATCCATGCCCTTCAAAATCTCTCTAAATATCTATGTTTCCTAGGGATGAAAAGTCTATGATTATGCCCCCTCTAAAAAAAAAAAGTTTCTGACTTTCTGACATTCACCTTATAAAGAATAGCTGACTTTACATTTATATCCATATGCTAAAGAATTAAAACACATGGTTAACAGACATGAAGTAAATAAAAAACTAAAGGAAGAACTGTAACATACTGTAGAAAAATATCTTTAAAGGAACTCATTATTTTAAAATCTTGTCTTTGAATCAACCTCTGCCATACTCAAGGCACGTTTCTTTTACCTATTCAGTTGCCTCTACCTTTTGTCTCAATAATCCCTTGGAGAAGTAAAGCCCCAGTCCAATAACTGAACCTAGAGAAAGATCCCTGTTTTCAGACACAGCAGAGTGACTTCTTTGCATTCCTGTCAGGATTTGATAAGAACAGTAAAACACAGCTAAGGGTGAAGATGTTAAAATTCCTCTCATTCAGAAAGCTGAAACCTTCCCACAAAATTTCTGTCACTGAATTTTGCGTGAATGAAGAACATATAGATGAAATGCCTTTGGTATTTTGCAGGTGCTATGAGCCATGGGATCCCATATCCTGTGCATGTCATGTGAACTTTAACTTGCCTCATTTGCCTCACTCCGAGTCTTAGCTTGCCAGTTAACTAGTGTAGAAATAGCACTGTTGTACAGTACTTTGTAGTAGAGAGGAAATAGAGAAGCAGATTATGTTATTTTTGTCACGATGCTTCCATATCTGAACAAGTGCTTAAAAGCCTCATACAAATTCTCTGCATCAGTATGGATTTCAGTCTAAACTACTGTCTTCAGAATTGGGAAAAGACTATTTGGATACCCAGATTCAATAACAATTTGTCATAGAAACCACATTTCTTTGCAGATTCATAAAATTTTGAAATAATTAATTTGCACTTTGTTTACTGTAGTAATTTTATGGTACTGTGGTGACATTTGGAAGTATTTCACTTTTTTATTCATGAACAGAACTTAGCATAAAACACTTATAGAAGTATTTCTGTTTCAATAATTTGTCAGTTAATAGAAAAACTTGATTTCCCAAAGGTATTGAGAGATACATGAATTATCTGGAAAGTTGTAAGTTTGAATATTGGCTAGGTGTTACCCACCATCAGTTACTGTGGCTCCCTATGGTTTCTTTAAACTTGTGTTTTCTGACAAGACATGGATCCAGATCCATTCCAGGATCCAGAGCCATTCTGGGGTCCAGATTCTCTTCTCATGATGTTTACACACAGATCATGTTCACATGTGGACCAAGATTGAACCCTGGAGATCTCCAGGCACAGCAGCTTGGTCAATCCAGCAAATTAGATGAGACCAGGAATGTCACTGGATTCCATAACAAAATGAAATGGAAAGAGCCACATGCATGCTAGAAAACTCCAAAACAGGTTTGTTGTCTACAAATTGCCTATTGTAAATGTTCCCTAGACTACTTTACCTATCAAAACATATCTTGGAATTGTCCAAGAAGATTGCTAGCTGAAACAGTCCAAATTTAAGGCACGGCATATACTAACAGTTTTTAGTGTAAATTATTATATTCTCATGTCCAGTTCCTGGTATACTTGAATTTACTAGTACAGAGATGGCCAGAGAGCTCAAGGAAGCTCAACACTATGCTTTCAGTTATGTGCTTCAGATATAATGTTCCATGGGTTTATATCTTGAGGTCATCTCTCCTACACACATTGTAGGAGTCTTGAGTCATTTATGTGAAACTAAAATGATGAATGTGGATGGAAACAATGCAGGTCATGAGGTCTGTTTGTTTGTTGTGTGCATTGCCTGTTTCTGTGCATTGTCATTTCTGATGTCATTTCAAGTGCATCATCAATCCTATTCATCTGATAAGTCAGGTGCTACAGATACTATAGATATACTCTGTATCAGGACTGGACCTATCCTGCAATTCTGCCTGCCCTTGGACAAGTCATCTGGGAAGATACCACTACACTCTGAAACAGGGAAGCTGAAGCTCAGAGAGAAACAAAAATGGAAGTGCAAACAACATATAAACCTGTTGATTATAAGTTGACTTATAATTTAGTTGAATGAGGCCTCAGCTACTTGTATTTCTCTAAATTTGAAATGCATTGCCAAGATTTTGATTTGATAAAACACTGTTGCTTAAGTTTTAAGGCGTTACAGTGCTGTAAGGCTTACCCAATGTGGGTCACACCTAAAGAAAGTAATACTAGAAACTTTCCAGTGATGAACGTTAATATGTGAAAATGTTATTGCTAGTAAAACTTTTCATCTGTTCAGTCATGCAAAATATAACTATAATCACTCTTGTTCAAGTGAAATAACACTTCTCTTGGAAAAAAGAAGTTCTCCTTACTTTATTGCTCAGAGAATTTTATGGTGCTTTTTATTATTAAATCCAGACCAATTTTACCTAAGGAGCATAACAAAAAAGCTGTAGGAAATACCATTAATCTTTTCACACTTTTGTTGGTTTTCCCTCAGAGACTGAAATATTATAATCTAGCAGAAGAAAAGCCAATTGTTGAGTCTTCATTTTTGTTAATCCAACTGGTAAGCAATTCATGGTAAATCTATAAATCCAAAATAATAAAGTCACTGGAGACAGACAAATTATTTTTGTGAGGACAAATGACTGTATGTGTAAAAAATGATGATGATAAAGATTCTGAAATAACAAGAAGATATTGAGAAAAAAAATGATAGCCATAAAAATGTTACTTAATGAAAATAGTGAAAACTTTGAGACTTAATTTTGAAAGAATATATGCATTATATCTAATGTGTATTTTGAAAGCTGGTCTCTTTTCAGAAAGAAAGACAGGCTTGCTGTGTTCATCTACTCACATAAGGAGATGGAGGCTATTCACATGGAGGCTATTCTCAAGAGCATGACAAGTATGACCTGTTATTTGTAGAGGAACAAAAAGCAAAGTACCATGCACAAACTTTTTACTTTCCGCATTGAAACCTATGAAAGAAAAATACTTCTGAGTTCCATGGCAGTATGGTGGGGGTCTGAACATTTCACAGAATAAATGTCAGCTGTGTTTTCAGGGTCATCATCACTCAGGAAAATGAACTTATTTAAAGCAGTTAAATATACCTGTATATATGTTAGAAAACTATTTCTAAATAAACTGTTCTCAGGTAAACTACATATGTCTCTGTAAAAGCATAAATATTATGGTGTTCTTGCAAAGATCAGAGTCTAAAGAAGATCATCTTTTGCTGACAGTTAGGTGAATAATTCTGATCAGGTTGCAGTGTAGACTGCAGAATCCAAATCAGTGTAATATTACTTTCTAAACAATCAACCTGGTAATTGGGTATTGATTATCAAGGCCAGAGTCTTTCACGGCCTTGCCTGCTTAAAATGGACATGAAATGTGACACATGAAACGACTGAAGGTCTTGCGATGTTGTGACAACTGCTAGCAACATACCGAAAATTCTTCCTGAAACTTTAGGTTGTTGTTTGTGCAAAGCTCTTCAACATGTTGTAGGAAGGATTTCTTGCTTATTGGCCTGAAAGTAATGACAGGAGAATTAAAAACTTATAGGGAATTTCTTTGCCATTCTTTCTATTCTTATTTAACTGCAGTTTATAAATAAACAATGCTTTTCAGTTCAATAGAAACTGATACTTATAGGCAGAAAATTATAAATTGCTTACACTATGCTTACTTGGTTTGTTTTCAGTCACTTAAAATAGAAGTGTTTTCTTCCCTTGTTGTTCCCCCTCACCAAATTTTTAACGTTGCTAATGTTAACAGTACTGCAGGGTAAGATTGTTTTTATAGGTAACAGCATTCCAAGGTGAGGTTTTGACATTAATGGAAATTTGTAAAGTTATCATTGCATTCTAAAGTACATAATACTTCTTTGTCGCACAGAAAACATTTTATACATTGCAAGGTTTTAGACATATAAAATATTGCAGTGACCTCACTCTCATAATGACATGGTTTTTAAACCCCGAGGAGTTTAAATATCCCTGTATTACTTCCCAAGCTAAAACACAGACATGCAGGCTTCACCCCAGAGAGAGAGAAAGCATTTCTCCAGTTACCATGCAATTAGTCATGCTTTTATGATTTATACGCAGCCTGGAGTTTTTTTCTACTAAACATAGAGGAGGGAACCACACATTGAGACTCACCGATGACCACAATATAAAAATCTTTAATCAACTTACTTGATGGATTTTCTATAACTAAGTAACCTGCAACAGAGATTTTTGTTAAATGTAGCAAGCTGAGGGTTAACCAATATTGTGCATGTTAATAGGTTTTAGATTAAATACTCAAGTAACTAAAGAGCCAGAGTTATTTCTCTCATGGATTCAAACACTATTATATGTCAGATATCTTGGGTGATTGTCTTGCTTAGTTTTTATCATCTCAGGTATTGGCAGATACACATTTGTTAGTTACACTTTCTATCGTTCTCTTCAAATCATTTTGCAGTGCTCTGGGCTCATATGGCCCTGGGAAATCTATACTTCAGCACACCACTTCATATACATTGACAGGCTTTATTTTACACTATGTACTCAATATCATTCTTCTAAGGGCCATTTCAGAGCGTAAGGACAGGATTCATCTGACTGAACACAGACAGCTATTTCTGAGCTAGTCACTCTAAGATTCTTTTTATAATCAATGAAGAGAAATAGGTGTGATTTCATCTCATTGTAAGCAGATATCTAAAATAAGTCACAGATGAATCATGCTATTGGTGTGCTTCTACAAAAGCCAAACAGCTATGGCTGTTTTTCTAAAGATTTCAAAAATGAGTGCCTGTTTTCATGCACATTTTCACATGTTTCTGGCTGTTTCTGGTGCATGGTGATTTTTAAAACTGTGCTACATATTAAAAATCTTTTAACTTGATCCCACAGCAGGTTTCATGAAGATGTTACATGAGCATCTATATTCAGGGGACTTTCAGATATCCGTGTAACTTGGTCATCATCATCACCTCTGAACCCATTTTCAGAATGTCTGAGCATTACAGATTTAGAAGCCAAACTTTGTGCACTCAGACTCACAAAGGTTGTCTGAAAGACCAAACAAAAAAGTTTGGAGTAATACAGTTTAAAAGATAACTTTCCCCTTCAAAAAACTCTAAGTATACCTTTTATGTGTCTGTCTCTCGAAAAATGATACATTCTTACATGCAAATATTACAAAAACTATTCTATAATACAAATACAAATGTCTACTGCTGCCATAATTTTAGTAGAAAAGACAAAAATTTGCTTTAAAAATAATTTGGTTTATGAAATTACTCTTAAATATTTAAATTTTAAATTACATAATAAAATGAGATTAATAAAATTGCTGAAACATTAATTATTAAGCATCAGAGAAGTTAATTTCAAAGCTAGTAAAGATGCCTTTGTGATACATACATTCTTATGACAATTCTCTTCAAACAAAGCAAAGTGGCTATGAAAAAGTTGGGTCAGTCTCACTGGACTAAAAAGAAGTGTAAGAATTCACAGAAAAAGGCTCAAACTCGATGTGCTTACTAGGACAAGTGAAGGAGAGCTTTAGAATGAAAAAGAAGGCAGTAAGACAACATAATAATAAGCATGCAACTCTATTTATTCAGAATGTTTAAATATCTAGCTAGTGCTTGTTGTATCATGTATGTTGTTTGCGTTACATGGCAGCTGAAACTACCTTCTAGTAATATTGGCAACATTACAGAGCTAAAGTTTCCTGAAGAAAAAGTATTCTTAATAGCTGTGCCAATGTACTGCACACAAATAGATTTGTCTTTGAGCAGAAAGTAACCCTTTTTTAGGCCTTTTTTTTCAGGGAAAAAAAAAAGTATAAGCAGTCTCTGCAAAGAAATCACACACGTTTTTCCTTTGAATTCACCTATCTTCATCAGTCATCTCCCAGTTGACATCCCAGTAATTTTTAAAATACTGTTGGCTTTCCTCCTCTCAAACTAATAGCAATTATGAGCTTACTGCACCTAATTTGCAGTAAGAAAATGCAATTTGGTCATTAGGGAATAAAAATGACATCTATGCTATACATAAGCAGCCTGGGTATGTCGTTTAGTGCTTCAGTGCTGAAGGTACGTGGATCCAACAGCAAAGAATATAGGTGACACACAGCACCATTAACACAACCTTACTCAACAATATTTCCTTTCTTTACTTTCACTCAAAGAAGAGAAGTAAAGCACTGAAATAGCACAGGAAATTAACTAAACAGTGTTGTGTATGTTGCTTTCTAGTTAATTTTTAATATTAATGATGAGTTTTTTAAAAGCATAATCATATATTGCCTTTCACAAGCACTAAACATTTTTAAAGAAATAAGGCACCTACAGTTTGATGCTTTAACCTATTTGTGGGCATTTAAGTGAAGAACTTGATTTTTAGAACTACTGAAGTCTTACAGTGCTGTTGATAGCAAGTTCACATTGCAGTGGCTTGGCAGCTCAGAAAATAAGGTGATTTCATTTAAATGCTTTTATGAGAATTAAGACTTGCCACTTGAAGACAGTGGCAAAGGCTTTGGGTTTTTTGTGTAAGAATCTTCAGAAGGAATGAATTTTGTATGCTCCCTACAGACTTACAGCTATGCTCAGTTTCAGCACCGTCAAAAATCTGTATTTTTTCCAAGTCTCTTGACTTGGAATATGTAGTAATAATCTGACAGTATTTAATCAATGAACAAATATTTGTCTACCTGTAATCTTGTTCTCCACATTTCCTAGTCTTTTGTATAAAACATCAGAATATAGATATCACTAGATCTTGATAAGCACAATCAAAACCATGAAGTTGCAAATTTCCTCAGGACAATTCCAGATTCCCACTTGTCTGACTTTGAAACTAGGAAAGAAAAACATTCTCTAAGATAAAGAATGCTTTATTGCCTTAAATCTGATTTTCTTTTAAAACAGTGTATTGTTTCATGTGTGGGATTTTTTGAAGTCTATCAAAAATCTGAATCCCACTCAGATTACTTATGATAGAGCTAGAAAGAAGCCATTTATTTGTGTTGGCAGTGGTAACTGAAGACCATATTGTCACACAGACTCGACTTTCTCTCTGGGTCAATCATCTGAAATCCACAGGGAATTAAAACTTCGTCCAAATAGAAAACAACAGAAATGAGTATGTAGGCAAAAGGCTTAACTCATAAGCACCATTGACACTTCCTAGGAACAACAGAGGAATTAATTTTTAGCAAGTTAATTGAAAGCAATATGGAGCTTAACCCTTCCTAAATATTAAAGGCCTAAGGAAAGAGAACACATGCTCATTTCTTCCATTGTACCAGGACATGTACATTCATAAACCTTGTACTCCTGGGATACAAAGCTCAGAAAGCCCATTTTTGATAGCTGATTACTAAAGGGAAACTTGTTGAAGAAAAAGGTAAGGTAGGAGCCATGCCTATCCCCACTCAAAGAAAGAAGAAACAGGCTGATCTAGAGAAAGTAATATATGTGCAGATGTGTTACTTTGAATATAGACACCTAGTGAATGCATAATATATAGGAAAGGTGAGACCACACAAGAATTTTATATACAATATTTTTCAATATAGAGTTCTAATTGCCTGGTATTTGCAAGGGTTACAGTGTCTGTAATTCAGAAATATTTCCTGGGCACTGAAATTGTAAGAGGCCAGCTACATCAGTAAAATGTTCACAAGTCCATGGGGCCCGATGAGATTCATCCCAGAGTGCTGAAGGAGCTAGTGGATGTTACAGCAGGACCCCTCTTGACCATCTGCCAAAGGTCTTGCAAGTCTAGGGAGGGCCCTACTGACTGGAAGCTAACCAATATTATTCCAATTTACAGGAAGGGCATGAGGGAAGACCCAGGGAACTACAGACCTGTTAGTCTAACCTGAGTTCCTGGAAATATTATGGAGAAGATTATACTGGGTACTGTTGAAAGGCATTTAAAGCATAATGCAGTCATCAGGCAGTCAACATGAGTTCACAAAGGGAAAGTCCTGTTTAACTAATTTGATAGAATGATAAGGTCACCCACCTAGTGGATGAAGGGAAGGTGGTGGATGTAATTTTTCTGGATTTTAGTAAGGCTTTTGATACTGTCCCTCACAGCATCCTTCTGGACAAATTGCCCAGCTGTGGTATGAATGAGTTCATGGTGTGCTGGGTGAAGATCTGGCTGAAGGGCAGAGCTCAAAGAGATGAGTGAATGGGGCTACATCTGGCTGGTGATTGGTCACCTGTGGCATTCCTCAGGGCCCAATTCTGGGGTCAATTCTGTTCAATATATTTATCAATAATCTCGAGACAGGAGTTGAATGAACCATTAGCAAGTTTGCTGATGATACCAAACTGGGAGCTACTGGTGACTCTCCCGAGGGACAAGATGCCTTGCAAAGGGATCTGGAGAGATTGGAGCATTGGGCAATGATTCATGGGATGAAATTTAACAAGTCTAATGTCAGATTCTGCACCTGGGACAGAGTAATGCCAGGAACAAGTATAAATTGGGAGAGGAGTGGCTGGAGAGCAGCCCTGCAGAAAGGGGTCTGGGGGTGCTGGTTGGTAGCAGGCTCACTATGCATCAGCAGTGTGCCCTGGCAGCCCAGAGGGCAAACCCCATCCTGGGGTGCATCAAACACAGCTTAACCAGCCAGCCAAAAGAGGGGATTATCCCGCTGTATTCAGCGTTGGTGTGGCCTCACCTGGAGTACTGTGTGCCGCTCTGGGCCCCACAATTTAGGAAGGATGGGAAGGTCCTTGAATGCATCCAGAGAAAGGCAACAAAGCTGGTGACAGGGCTGGAAGGAATGTCCTGTGAGGAGCAGCTAAGGACTTTGGGCTTGTCTAGTTTGGAGAAAAGGAAGCTGAGGGTCAACTTCATTGCTCTCTGCAGGTTTCTGAGGAGGGGAAGTGGAGAGGGAGGTGCTGAGCTCTTCTCCTGGGTATCCAGTAACAGGACACGTGGGAATGGTTCAAAGCTGTGTCAGGGGAGGTTTAGTGTCCTGGTTTCACATTAGTGCCCTGGTTTTGGCTGCCAGGTTAAACCATGACAATTAGGAAGCATTTCTTTACCAAGAGGCTGGAACGGGCTTCCTGGAGAGGTGGTCAATGCCCCAAGCCTGTCAGTGTTTAGGAGGCATTTGGACAGTGCCCTTAACGACATGCTGTAACTTTTCGTCAGCCCTGAAGTGGTCAGGCAGTTGGACTAGATGATCATTGTAGGTCCCTTCCAACTGAAAACTGTTCTGTTCTGTTCTGTTCTGTTCTGTTCTATTCTATTCCACTCCATTCCATTCTGAATCTGTGGCCCATTTGCTTGACAAGCTGCCTCATATGGAATGAAACAAAAGCCCCAAGTGTCCACCACAAAGTGCAACTTCTCAAGGAAAGGTTTTAAGAAACAGAGACCTACATGGCTTTATCCTTGCTGCAGAAACCACTGCAAAAGTAGGGTGCCAGGGAAGTTCTTTCCCAGGTAAGCACCTGGAACAGGGACGAGCTATTTGTCTCTTGCCAAACTCGGTGAGCCCTGAAAATTTATTGATAGAGTCTATTCACAACAGATGAATGTATGCTTTGAAAAGTCACCTGGCAAACCCTATGGACATGTTACAAAAAGTAAGCGATGAGACGCTCCAGTATATGTATATTCAGGATGACTAATGAACCAATGTTTAATCCAGTTTACACTGATGTGCTATACATGTTTTAAACAAGGATTGTTTTTTCCTGTTATTGCCTGTCTCATATCATCTCCATGATCATGGAGATCAATGTATGTCCCAAACATCCAAAGTTAGCATTTTGGCTTCATAAAGTAGATCTCATTTTCCACTTAATTCAGTAGGACACAATTCCTGCATGCCCTCAGAAGCTACATCCCGTTAATAAATGTGAAAAAAAACAAAGACTTGCTGAGAGAGTATAGATTTCAGCCAGTATTAGTAATTTTCAGGCACTAAAGTTTTTTGTTTGTTTGTTTGTTTTCCCCTGGTGACCATTATGTCAAAAAATTGCTACTGGGAACTGGGATTTGACATGAATTTCCTGATTTGAAAAAAAATATTGACCCCCCCAAAAGTTTCAAAATTAGAAAAATGGGATGTTGGTACTTTTAAATTTGATGTTTTTTTCTATTTAAAGTGACTTTTGTAATGCAAAATAATTCATGATTAAAAGGTTATAAAAATGCATGACATAAAATGTTTTGATTAATCTATACTAATATTCGCTGAGTTTTTGTTAATTAAACTTTTCAAGCTTTTGAATTTTTGATCTGCTGAGAATGATAAAAAATATTTCCAGTCATATTCTTACAGAACAGGAAAACCTTTTTCTATTTCTTTTTATTTCTTATGTGATACTAGCTGCACAAAGTTTCTGAGAATATGAGCTAAGATCATAGGCCACAATCCACTAAATATGAGAGAATGTCTGAAGAAACAATGTATGAGAGACAGTCAGGAAGGATCTCATGGAGCAGGCTAGAGTATCTTGGTTCTGTGGATGAACTGTGTCAGCTGCAAGTCCATGCCTTTACTGATTTATAGTAGCTAACATCATAAATAACATGCTCGCTGAGAAATGACAGAACACTTGGTTTCCAAAGCATCTCCTTCAAATGAGCACTGAATGGGACAATTAGTAGGCACAGAAAAAAATCTAGACTGCTCTTTTATCACCTAAGATTTTCACACAAACTCCCCATCGCCCTTTCAGGGTAGAAAGCATACTTAGTTGGGCCAGATTTCAGCTGATTTACTGCTGTCCAAGAAATACAAACAAGGCAGCCTAGAAAAGGAGTCTGCCCACCTATGTTTTCCTCATACAATTACAAGATGCCACCAACTGAAAACAGCATTGTGCAACACAGCAAGCTTTGCAAACACAGCTGAGATGATAGACAGCTGACTAAATGCAGCCAACGTATGGCAGTAGGTTATGAAGATGCAGTGATGCACAGTGCCATTCCAAATGGATGGTAAATTTGCAAAAGTTACACTGCAGTCACCAACATGTACTACAATAATTTAACATGTTAACATGGCACTGCTTTAAGCAAAAATCATGAGAATGATAAGGACAACACAAGAACTGGGACTATGATTGACTTCTATATAGCTATTTCACAAAGGCAACAGGTACAAAAGTTCTTTCGTGGTGTAACTGTGGAAGTTTGAAAACAGGCAGCAGAAATATTTTAGACATTGTTTTGCAGTAAGCTGCCTTGGTGCATGCTGCCATGCATCTGCCAGCTTCTTAATATAGCTCATCATTACCAGGAATGATGTAGCAGAATGAAAGACGGCATTAGAGACACCTAAAATCTCTCTTTTGGCCACTGACATTATCCAGAAAAGAATCTTACACATACTGAAACAATCTTTAAAGCTAAAAAAAACCCCAACCCCAAAACATAATAAACTAAAAGTTTTGAGCAGATAAAGAATATCCAGCCCTTCATTACTACATGTATATTATCTAGCAGGGTCCCACAACATGTTTACTGACTTCCGGTTAAAAAGATGGCATGAATCCTTTCCTGAGGAGCTCTCAGTTAGTGCCTGCACTTCAAACTACCACAATTTGTTGCAATGTCCAACAATGGACCTAGGGAAGGAGCCTGCTGTAGCTTCAGTGCAGCTACTGTTTGAAAAATAATAATCCAAAATTTAACAGCTGCATCCTGTACCTTACAAGAATGGATGAAGAGCAGAGTCTTTGCTTTTGGCCATTAAAGGAGTGGGGAAGGAGGAAAGAGAAAAATACAGGTGGAAGGACATGACAAACTGCAAACCAAAATGTGAGACTGACTCATTAAAACAGGGGATGATGTAACAAAAACTGCTGAAGCACTCATCAGTAAAAGCCTTCCTGTGCATAAATCACATAATGAAGTGCACATAAGTACGAAATATTACAGTTTGCAATTACCCTGTAGAGTCTGAGACTGTACAAATCCAAATGGCACATAATTTAGAAAGAAAAGTTGCAGAATAGTACTCCGCAAACTGATAAAGGATTTGACTGCAGGGCTATGTTGCTGAGATTGTAGTGGTATAGTACAAAACAGCTGCAGTACGAGTAGAAAAGGCATTTTAGAAAAAATAGATAACTTCTCTTAAGTACATACATGCTGCCAAAGGAAAGAAACAGCATGTTTCTTATGTTACATTTGCACTACATTTGCTTCAAGGATAGATTGTATATATCAGTGCTGTATTGTAATAACATGTTATAATTTCTATGTAAAAATTGGCCTGATTTATTTAAAAATAATTGTAGAACTGTTGTATCTTAACATTAGGGACTAAAAATAAACAGGATTTCATGATGACAAATACCACTGTTTGTCATCAGTATAGCTGTGAAGACTAACATTTCATCGTGATTAACTATCAATTCAATATAGTATGGTAGCACAGATGTTAAGAGAACAGAATGGAAAACACACCATGTTGCTTCAATAATACAAAAACTTACTGGATGACAAATATCTCCTTGCGTCTAAAGAAAAATGAAGAGTATCTGGAAGTAAAACCCATTAACACTTTAGTATATAAACAAAATTAATACCATTCTTATTCAGCTAACAGTTTGGAAACAAGGCCATTTTGAAGATCCATCAAGATCATTTATACGAGTCACAGTTATTGCAGTGCATCGACAATGGTTCTGTCTCCAGGGAATGTTTTCCACTGTTATTAGCAGGTACTAGCAAAGCTATCTGAATGACATGTGCCCCAAACAGAACATACCACATCCATTATGTCAACAATTCCCAGATGATACGTAGTATGTTTTCTCATCTGTTACGAGCAGCCATTCCTGTGTGTGCTATTTTGAACAGGTTTGTACATGCAATCAACTTACTCTGTACCACACACATAGACATATACACACTTAAACAAAACAGGTCAACAGCTACAACCTTTCATCCTCCAGCTATTCCTAGTCTGCAACAGTAGGATGCCTGACTGCCAGGGCAAGACTATTTTAGGCTTCTCATCTTTAAGGAGACTGTCTACCACAGTGTTTCATCTGACACAGCAGGGAAAATACAGGTGGGTAAAGAATGTTCACCAAACATTTCTAACTCAGTTGGATGTCGTATATTATTGAGAATCATCATTATATTTATTCAGTGAATAATATCCCTATTTCTGGCAGTCAGAGAGATTTCCCTCTGATAAATATCTCTGACGATCATTTGTTGGACAGAAAATACGAATAGCTTGGAATTGCTGCATACACCTTAAAGGAGTAGATGTCAGAATCGCCAGTGTGCTGAGCTCCATGGAAACCCAGATGTTATGCAAATCTGTTTGTGAAAAAAATGCTTTGTAAATGTCAATTAAACAATGACAGATTTGTTCTTGAATTAGCTGACCGGGACTTCCGGGAGTTTGACTTTTTCAAAATGCTTATGTAGGTTTGCAGCCTACACAGAACACTGGGCCATCAAAAAACCTCAGAAATTCTACATGTTTAAAAATATGTAGCCCTTTTTTGCTAATACAATTAAACAGTGATTTGCACTTAGATCTTTATCTTGTTGTAAAAAGAGCTGAAGATTAAGTGATTTTCTAAAAGCTAGTGAGAAGTGTCTTGAGGATGGAGGTCATTCTTTGAAAGAGGATCTCAGTGACCTGTGTAAATAAGAACAGCACAAACACTTCCAAACAAGCAAAGGTCAGAGAGGGGTCATGGCTACAGCCCCTTTGGACTACTGTTTTGCCTAAGGAGTATGCTTACCGTGTAAATCTCTCATCCTTCAGCTCCAGGTCTGCCACTGTGATCAACTGATCCAGTTTAAACTTAGTGTCAATAATCTCAGCATCTCGTGGGGAGTATGTGCCTCCCTCTTTTTGCTTTTGCCGAATTCTAAACAGAAAATAATAGTGAAAAATAAACAAGCAAAAGATTTAAGGACACATATGTCAATACTTTGATTAGACAAGCTGAAACTGAAAAATGGTTGCCAGAAATCCTTCCTGGGCCTTTATTCTGCTCTCCCATCCAGTGTAATTTAGTCAAATCCAACAGTTACATTGTCTAAAATTTACATGGAAAGAATCTAGCCTGTATATTCTTTTAGTTTTCCTACATAAATTCTTTGGCAATGCCTGAATGATGCAGCTGAGGAAAAACAGAACTTCTGGTGAATGAGCAAAGTAACATCATGTATGCAGTACCCAGTCTGTTTCTTTACATGGGCATTTTGTTCACAATTTGAATTAGAGGTCAATTTCTCTTTCACATGTGAGACTTACATATGTTTAATTGATAAATTTATTAGTAAGAGAGAATACAGAATTTAGAGTATTTACTTCGTATCAAGATGTCAACAGGGCTAGCCATCACGCTAACTTCAGACAACTGACATTCTGATCTGTATTCTCACCTCAACTCAATAGAGAAGTGACTCTGAAAGGGTAAGATAGGCTACCGCTCTGATTTACCCTCTGGAGAAGCTTGTTTTTCTCCTTCTTCTATGGAGGTTAGCCCCAACAGCTAAAGCTAGCCTTTGTGAGTCCTTCCCTAAGTTTCTACATACAAGAGAAAAAAAAAAAAAGGAAAATGCAACACATTTTGAAATGACAGCTTGGTTCCATTTATAGATCTGTTTCAACTCATCATTAAAACATTTTTGAGTGTTTGCAAACATGGTATGGTAAGGATACATAAATCTCACCTTGCAAAAGCATATACTGCAGCCACCAAAAGAACAACTGAAAGTATACACAAAGTAACAGCAAGGATAACTTCTACAGATCTTCCTGACAGTCCTTCGCCTGCAACAGAAAGTGAAAATCTAATACTTCATAGATTAGTTATAATTTTTACATTTCTGACAGGGTGAAATCAGGGAGTGATGAGAAACAGGCACTTTTTTCTCAATACAACTGCATCCATTTTGTGTCAGTCAAAGAAAGGAAAGAAAAATATTAACAAAACCAGAAACTATTTAAAGGTTCCAAAGCATTGCTGAACTATGTAATACATAATTCTAATAGTATATGTCTACATCCGTATTTGCAGCCATCCGCTTGTGCTTTTCAGGTTTACCTGCTAAACAGGTTAAGGTAGGTCTATACTGCAGTAACATCAGTCTGAAGAGTAGCCTGAGCTGAGGTCCTGCTTCAGCCCCCATGCAGCCAAGAACAGACACACTCCTCTATCAGCTAGAAAGAATCAAACTCCAGAAGTGGAAAAGGAAGAACCACGACTCTAAAGCTATGAGGTTTGCAGCCATCACTCACAGGTACAAAATAAAAGATGCTTTTTGGAGTTACTCTTCTCAGGGTGCTGAAGGAACCCACCTAGTGATCGGCTCTGAACTGTCTGGATTACTCTGCCTCACTGACCATTAACTCATGCTCTTTATTTATGTAGGAACTGGTGATATTGTTAGAAATAACCACCAGCAAGTAAGAAGTTATCATAAAGATATTTTTGATAAAAAGTTAAAGCTGCTGGTATTCTAATTAGTCCTTCTGGGTGAGAATGAAGGCTCATTGAGAGGCAATTTAGACTAGTAGTTTCTCTTTTTCAACCTCTTCCGTGCTAAATTTCTGAGAGTCATTTAATTTTCCACCCTTCCTGATAATCCTGTTCTTATCTCAAAAACCTCAGCCTCTTTTTTCCTTAGGCATACAGTGAAAACAAGAGTAGCAAGGGATTGATTACTACTGCTAGTATTTTTCACCTATGCTGACATTCACCTCCACTTGCTGATCCACTGTAGAAAATCTAGCTGCTGTCCAGCCTCCAGGAAGGACAGAAAAATGTCCTGCTTCCTGCCATATGAAAGTGAGATTTCCTACTCAAGGGACAACATCCTCCCATGAACACACTGGGAAACACTGAAGTCCTGGCTTTGTTTCTCTCCAAAGGCCCTGATTTTTGCATTAAAGAGTATATTGCAGATGATCTGTACTGCATTTGCATTGGAGAACATGATTAAAATTCAAAATAATCCTGATTTAGCTGAAAAAAAAGTCTTAAAACAGTAGGATGCAATTTCGTAAGATCAAGTGTATGGTTCTACACGTAGGCAGGAATAATCAGGTACAATAATACAGCATATTAAACAGTAGGTTAGGTAGCAATTTATCAGAAGAAAGTGTGAGATTATTGTGGACCACAAACAACATGAATAGGCAATACCATGCCTACATGAAATGATAGACATAATCTTGTGATGCACAGAATTAAGTATAGTTTCCAAAACACCTGAAATAAGTCTTCCACCGCATTAGTAAAGTCTCAGGTGCAACACTGAAACCTACAAGGTAAGAACAATTTAGGCCAAGGGAAGCCAACAGAGAAGAAAAGCAAGTATACAGACAATTGTTGCAAAGAGAAGAAGAATTAACAAGTCCCTGCCACTCACTAATTTCTGTGATAAGGTACTAATCTTAGTAATGTGGAAGAAGAACAGAAGAATCTCCTGAGGCCCTCTACAACAGTTCTATCTATATTCCAGTGAACAGTGAAGTCAATGTTAAATGCTACAGTTAACCAGTCCAAGCATCTATTAAACAAGTACAATGTTATTAAACAAAACAGTGCTGACAGAATACCCACCAAGAATAAAAAAATACATTTTCTCTTACTTCTTTGCAACAGGGAAGGATTAGATGTCTGTAAAGATGATCATGGGCAAAGGGAAGGACACAAAACAGATTTGGCATAGTAGGAAGAATAGGAATTATAAAACTAGCATGCAGTCCTGACATCATGTATAATTTTGAGGAGCTGCCACTCAATACATGATGAGAACAAACTGTAATAATGGAATATCATAAGGTGGGTTTCTATGCAAAATGCAATGTCAGGAAACCCCATTTTGAGTACTTCCTGTCTCATCAACTTTGTATTTCACATGGAAAAAGGCTACACTTACACAGGACTACCAGCTGCCCCACAATGATTTGCTGAACCAGCTATCAGAGTTTATGAAAAGGTTATAAGCTGTCTTGATGTACTAGAAGTTTAAACAGTATTTGTCACCACATCTTAATTATCTCCTGGAAAAATCCTGACCTTTGATTGCAGTATGGACATTACTTTTGCAATGTCAGTCATGAGTTATGAGGAAGAAACTCCACTTCTCCAGCTCAAGCGGAGAGTTATGGTACTCCAAGTATTGTCGAGTGGGAGGGCCATATTAAAATGTATCCTTTACTATAATTAAAAACCATTATTGCAGCTGTGTATTCCAATAAATTCTGCTTCAGTGTTCCTCCCTAGCAAAATTCCTCTTGTTTAACAAGAACATCTGATGCCTGTCACAGAGAACTCTCTCATAAGTTTTCCATATTTTTTTCTCCTTCAAACATATTTAACATGCAGTATGAAATTCCACAGATATAAAGTTAGCTTTCTGGTTTTCCAGATCAAAGACTTACTATTCTACAAGTAGATTTAGAAACTGAAATAATCTAGACATGAATACCTCTGCCAAAATTCAAATTATTATTTTATCTACTAAAAAGAAAATATCATGTTGGAAAACCACAAATTTCAGTGATTATTACAAAAGAAGATCATTACTGCAAAATGAAACTGCAATTCTGATTTCAGGCAGCATAAATTTCTTCTGAAAAGATACTGTTGTTACAAGTGCAATAGAAGTCATTGATCACAAAGATACCAAAGAGCTGTTGATCTTTCTGGTATGCTTTCTGGGTTATGCTTCAGGAGCAAGTCTGAAGTTCATATAACCAAAGCATGTTCTACAAAAAAACACTTGGGCAAAGTTCCTCAGATTATATGTCTCAAGGAAAAATGTGTCTGAAAGAATCTATCTTCCTTTATTCACTTAATATGACATTGGTAATGGCATTGCCGGTGCTGTATCTTCAAAGCCACTCAACTGCAGTACCTGCATCACTTGTGATATATCAATTTGATGTTGATTTCACAACACTTTTGTAAGAAAGCATAGAAGGAAGTGTTACTTTTCTGTCCACTTAAGTTTTGTTTCTTGTTGGATAGACTATGAAATTGAGAAGTTAAGGCCAGACAAGAGTTTGCTGTAGTGCTCATTTTAAAAGCAGTGCTTGATGTTAAACTTCAGCAAAGGCACTGGAATATGGGTATCACGAGTCACGGATATCTGAGGAATTTATCAGGGCTATTTTTGTTTCCTATTACATTTTATTGAGCATACAAACAGGTCTTGCTTCTTTATGATCTACACCAAAGGAGAAAGTGTCACAAGTTTTCAGTAACAATACAGAAGCAAGTTAATTACAGTATCTGCCTCCTACAAGTATAATTTCTCTTTTTTTTGTCCCTTGATGATTTCTTTAAGCATTGCAGAGTTTTCTGTTAGAAAGGACAAAGTTGCCCGGAGGACTGGATACAGACTCATTTCTAGTAAACTTGTTTTTCCTGATTGGACATGTAGTCTTTCCCTCACTGGGCAAGCTATTTGCTTCATTGGCTTAGAACTTTTAAACTCAGAACATATAAAGACAACTTTTGTGTGGCACTTTTAAAACACTCAGAGCTAGAGAAATAGTGCCAGATCCTTTCAGAATATACAGGTAGTGAATTTGCATTTCAAGATCTTCAGTATCAGATCATGTAACAAATTTCTAACATGGACTAAATGAATAAGGGAGCTCATATCACAGAAGATGAATGCCAGCTGAAAAATATGTGCCCACTAAAATTCTTCTGGGTACTCATCCAGTTGTCTTGGGATCCCTTTTCAGAAAGTCAGGGCTAATGCTTAGCTAAGTAAGTTTTGGCGTACCAATATATTAAAATAACTTACAGATCTTATTGCAATCTGCTTCAATAGTCTTCATTCCCAATTTTGGGGGTAGATCAACTCTGTCATGGAGAAATTTATGCTGGATTGAGACCCCATAACAGCTGGACTATTGCCCAGTGACAACAGAACCAGATGAGTTCCATTAGACAATATACATTTATTAATTAATGCAGAGCTTTGTTTGCATCTAAAGGATGAAGGACTAAAAGGTCATGTCCTCAGATGAGTTGCCACTAGAAGGAATGATCTGCAACTGAGAGGTTTCCTATACTAGGCTCATTGGAAAATCTTTACATCCACCCGAGAGGGAAACTGCACAAACAGTATAGCTTCTGGCAGTTCACCAATCGAGACCTATCCTGGCAAAATTGTATTTTCATTCTTATAACTGAATCTCTTCTAATGAACTTTGTCAATACAGCTTTTTTCTTTAACAGTCCAGGCTGAGGTAAGACCTCTTGACATGCTCAAAAAGACATATAAGGGAATGGATATGTTCCCTCCCCAGGCATCAACCATTCTGGTTAAGCTAGGTCCAACAAAAATAGAGATTATTTACCTCAGGGAAACCAGTCTACTAAAAAGAAACATGGAATTGTCTAGATTCTTTGGAAATAGAGAAATACTTTAATAAATTACACTCTCCTTACCTAAAGTTTTGACAGGGTCAGAATAGTCAGAATCTGTAAACTGTCCTTTAACGTTAGTTGCTCTGAACTTAAATCTATAAAATAAAACCAAGAAAAATAATGAAATAAAAGTTTATGTGCATTTCCTTAAACAGCACTTAATTTAGAAGCTAAAATCTGTTTTTCCAGTTTTAGTATAATATAAACTGGAATCATTATTCACCTGCAAAAGTGACATCAAGGACTCAATCAAACTATATGAATTATTTATGTCAAATCTGGGCTTATTAATTTAGGAAGTCAGTAGGCATATTTTGTTGCCTGAAACATTTAAAAAAATTTAATCTCCCATATTTATGATTCAGCCAAAAAGTTTAAAATTAAGACACATGAAGATCATTTCAATCTCCACATTTTTATAATTGAACTACTTGTTTTGTATGTTTGTATAAAAGTATATTTCACTTAAATCTTTCTCTTAGACAAACATAGAGACAAATGTACTTACAGGTACTGCTTTCTTGGTTTCAGTGGGCCATTACATATTTTGTCTTGACTGCCTGGTATCATACATGTAGCATCAGCACCTATGACGTATATCTCTTCTTTGCCACTCAGATCTTCTTTTCCTTCTATACATGGCGGGTTTGGAAAGCCTTCATTTGTAAAATATGGCCTTGGTCTGTTGAAGTAGGCATCATACCACTTAGTAACATTCCCATCATGCTGAGCTATTGTCAAGAAAAGAAATAATCAGAAAAAATTGACATTCTAACCAGACTGTAATTAAAGAAGTTATATAGGAAATTATTTTTTTTAAGAGTTTAGCATGCTAGCGGTGCCATTACACAACTAAGTCTATAAGCGTATTTGCACTTGAACCCAAATTTCTTTATTATCCACACTATCTATATTTTGCTAACTCAGAGTAAGTAAGTCAACAGAATCACAACTAGAAAATTTCAGGGGCAGTCTTGCACATGAGCTCTGCCTGTAGAGGATATCAGTTATGCAAGTCACTTCACTTTGAAACTGAACATGGCTAGGAAAGACAGTTAAAAAGCATTTACTCTAAAGACAGTAGACTGTTTCATAAACGAAATTACTAGATTTCCATAAGTGTTCAGTACCCACCAACTCAGGAGAAAAATCTTCAAAATGTTGCTTAACACAGTATTTGCATATCTATCAGTTCAAGGGAATCTTCACAGCAGTAGCTATGAAGTAAATGTCTGTAGGACTAGTGCTCAAATGCAAAATTGAGAAAAAGATGAGAGACTTCATGTGAATTCACTTAATGTGAATGCTTTATTTCTATACTTTGAAAGCAAGCAAAACAGGGGAATTAAATACCTGGAATTTGTCCTTCTTAGGTAAGCCTGAACACATGATGTCCTATCATGAAACTCCCACTCACAATGGTAGGCAATTACTCAAAAAAGTATCATGGCACTGTTCATATAAGTAAATGTTCACCAGTCTGTACAAAGGAATACACATTCTAACCCACAGTCTACAGAAGGGATTTATATAAATCCCTCTGCCCCCGTTATGAAATGGAAATATCAACTGCACATGACTGCATTCTTTTACAGGCAACGCTAATACCAAAAGAAGAAAAGCCTTGGGAAAAAAAAAAGTTTCACATTTATTTACCTTTCAAAAATGCCAAATGTTCTTCAAGGAAATAGGAAATAAAGAAAATGTATTGATAACAATAGGCCAGAATAATATTGGTGACTTCAAACAGTATGGATGACTCTTTGTTGGCAAGTGTTCCCAAAATCCAGTACCCAGCCCACATATATTGTGAAAGATACTTTGCTCTTAGTACTGTTGCCACAGCTAAAATGACTGTTAGCTATTTTCTAATGTGAAATTACTGAGACCCAAGAAAAGAAGTAAAAGAGAAAAGACAAACAGCATGAAAATTAAAAAAAATTTTAAAAACCCTGAAAACAATTTTCAAGAGAACTTATAAAATTCTACCTCCAGCTTCCACAACAAGAACTTGTATCATCTTGATAGGGCCGTGATCATCACTGTAATAACATATCGGCATTCTGATTGTAATTGTTGTAGCTGTGACGAGTAACGCCCCATTGGTATCATAAACTGGTGCTGGTTTCTTTTTAGGTCGTGGTGGTTCTGTTTTTAAACAAAGATATACCACAGAGTTTTGTTTGAAAACGTTTTCACTACAAGTACTTTGTTCAGATACATTGCTGTGTTATGCAAGACAAATCTTCAGCATATTTTCAGAGATTACTTAATGTTCTACTTAATGCCTTAAGCCTCTAAAAACTTTATTCTGATAAATGCCTCTGCATATCAGTTTTCAATTAAAAGAGAAAACAGTAAAAAGTCTTAGTTTTTCAAAGAATTTCAATGATTGTACTTATTTCCACAACTGTGATACTGTATACTTAGCTATACCTCTGTGATACTCTTCTAAGCTGTTTGCTGATGGTAACTACAATACTGAAGTCAATATGATTACTTCTCTGAGTGTGCACATGGTTTACAGTATCGTTCAGATATGAATAGTAAATGGTCAGTGACACGCAGCAAACTTGAGCACTGCAACTCAAGGCTATCAGTTATGTGTTCCTGTTCCTACCTTATGCAGCCTCTAAATAATAGACAAAGGCACTCTGCTGTGTACTCACAGGTAGAACAGCAATTTCTTCAGGATTTTTAGAGATTTCAGATAAAGGGCACTGCATGAGACATACCTTTGATATCCATGGTTATTTTCAATTGAATTTTTGGCCCTGCACCAGCACCATTAATTGCATACACCTTAAAAAAACAAACACTTGTTTTAATGATTATTTGTAATAGCTCCAACTTGCCCAAATCTGGATATATTTGAAGTAACAATGAATGCTGAAACACTCCTTATGTCATTCATACTTTGCTAGAACTTACTTCGTATTTCTTTACAGTCCTAAGTATAGTAACACGTTATTGCTTGCAATGTAGGTCTTTCTTACAAAAAGGAGAAAACCAACCCCACTTAAACAATTATGTCACCTCCTCACATGTCCTAGTCTCTGCTTATTTGAAAGGACTTCATGCACATACTTGTAGCAAGCTCCCCTTGCTGACCTGGACCCTTCATCCGAGCCAAATGAGCAATGCAAGTGGTGGAATTAAGGGAGAGATTTAGTCTTGTACCTGTGATGATGTGTCACAGCATGCTTTGCTTGCACATGAACCAGTGGTCCAGAGTACAAAGCTAACCACCAGTGACGTGTCCTGCTCCTACTCCCTCCACCCTCTTCATTGCTCCCCTCGTTCCTCAGACTTGTCTCTCTTCAGACTCCAGCTGACATTGCCAGCATGAAAATCTCATATTCAGCCTAAGTTTGTGTTCCCTCTTCAGACTAACCTCTCACTCATATCAAAGAAAAAATCCAAAGAAAAAGTATCAGTTCTTACGCTGACATTATAGGTATGTCCTCCTTTTAGTCCTTCAATCATGGCAGTGACTGACTGATCTGTTTTATCAATGACACTAAGATTGTGGATCCGGATGGCAGCGGGGTCATCTTCATTGTACACCATAGCTTGATACACCTGAATATTTCCATTTGGTTCAGATGGTGGCACAAATGTTACTTGGAACTTTGTTACTTCATCTGGTATCTTCTGAAATGTTATGTTGTTAGGTGGGTCTTCAGGCACTGAAATAAATATTTCAATGATCCACTTAATCAGTTTACTACTATTGCTATTAGAGTAAAACCTGAAAAATTACAAATTACATTTTTGCATATCAGTATTATTTCATTGGCATTTTCTGTTTTAATTAAAAGATCTCAAATACTTACTGTATATGTAAATATTTATGGAGACAATGACAAGTTAAATATTTAGTGAAATACTACTCTTAATGATAGCATTTCATGCTGCAAATATTAAAAATAATTATTAGATAACCCTCAGTAGTCTCTGCTCAGAAAATTTTCTTCAGATTTTCTACTCAGAAAGCCTGAAGACATCATTATACCTTGAAATACAACCAGGGTAAACAAATCCTTGCATAGGCTGACAAGCAAGAAACAAGCGTTAGTCTAGAGTAGCCCTTTCTGAAAGCCCTCTGTCAACAGCAAGCTCCCTCCCAACACATAAACAAGCCACCATGGTCCTACAAGTCTCTGCTTATCGCAGATAACTTTAGGAAAAAAACTTTCCACTAGCTAATGCCCAGACACAAACACAACATGTATTTTTCCCAAAGACAGTTTTATGTCAAACGCTTATTCCAGTAGCTTATTCTCAAGACAGCAAAGGTATAAATCATTTTCCCAATGTCCCTAGCTGAAAGAAAAGGCTGTAACATTCTTTCCAGGCAGCTAAGTATTTATTGCTCTACCTGCACAGAGAAGTATGTAGCATGACCTCTAAACAGTGAAATCAAGCAACTGAAGGTAAACACATTCCCTCAGCCAATTCCAGTTTTCTTTACACCAGCCAACAAATGCTTACTCAGGTTTCTCTGGAGTATGTCTATGTGAATTGGTCCTAACTCAGCCATATGCTAGACTGTACAAACCAGATGAGACGAGATGAGATGGAAAAAATAACTGTTCTTCTCTAAAGTTACTGCACCTCTTAATGTATCACGTTTTTACATAAGAGAAAGGGCTACCAAAAAAGATACCTCACAGGACAGACCTGGCTACTACCTAATTTAATCTTCATTCATTTTTCCACAGTAAAAGACTATATCAGCCTCCAGGGGTATAAACAGGTCAGGAAAACCTTAGAATTTAGTATATTAAAGGATTAGAAAGATATCTATATATGCACATATATCATATCATATCATATCATATCATTAGGGACACTGGATTTTCTTACATCAAAGGAAAGATAAATGATAAATACAATCACTGTGTAGTATGTCTAAATCTGAAATTAACTTGAGTATATAGCTAAAAAAGCTGACCTGCAGCTAACCTCAGTAGAGATAAGGCAATTCTAGTTTATACATAGTTGATAATTAGTTTGAACGAAACAAAACTTCAGTATCTTTTCAGAAATTTTTTTTGTTGTTTGTTTGTTTGTTTAAATAACCTTAATGAACAATTAAAAACTGGCAAAGATAGTAGATAGAACATAACCAGGAATTATGTATGTAAACCTAGGACTATATTTTCTCCATGCACATCTCTTAATATTTTCCTAAGCAAATGCTATCTACTTTTCTGTAACGTCGCCTCTTGATGTCCTGAGGTCCTCACACAGTTCCTCACTCTGATCTCTCAGTATTATTTATCTGACTAACTTAATAGCATCAGCAACTTTTGTCACCTTAGTATCTACCTCACTCTCCAGATTGTTTTGGGTCTGTGGAACCACTGACTCAAGCACAGATCCCTGTAGCCCTTCACTAGCAACCTCCTTCCACTCAGAATACACAGATTGTGTCCTCAAATCAGTACAGGTACCCTTTATAAGCATTAGGATTCAGTTCACTTAAATTTTGTATGTTTAAATTTTGCATCAAGACCAGGGATGTTGTATAGATTTTTCAATAGTCTCTTAAGGGAAACAGGCACCTCCACAGGGAAGAGTCATCCCTTCCTAAGACAGGTATCTTAGGCATGCTAATATAGATAGGAACTCTCTTCATTGACTATAGAAGTAATCTAGATGGCTGTGCTTCCATATTTTACATGGAGCAAGTTAAGATCTCTGAATTACTAAAGGTAAATTTTAGTATTTATTATCACCATCACTTTTTTTGACTGCTACCTTTTAAAATATTAAATAAAAAATATTGTGAGAACAAATCTGCATTAAAAGTGCACCATGTGTTCAAAACTCCCATTTATTTGTCAGATGAAAGAAAAACTGTAACATTTGATCCATATAAAAAGTAGACAAAAATACAAACCTGCTTCAAAAGTAGAGACAATTACTGGAGAACTAGCCTTGCCTTCAATGAGTGCAGCATTAACGTCCCCCGTAAAGGCAATGATTACTACAGAATACCTTGTAAATGCTTTCAAATCAGAAATTTCTAAGACTTTACCCTCATCATTTGTCTTCAGAAACTGAGCTTTATAATTGTCATTATCTACCTGTAAAAAAAAAAAAAAATGTTACAAGACTTGAAACAGCCAAAAGCAGGACATTATTATTTGAACACCTTATTTAGCTTTCATCTTTCCACTTTTCTAACCATTTACACAGAAGTGTTCACAATAAGTCTCTAACTACCAAGACTAGAAAGCTGCACAGAGGAGTACACTCCCATCTCACCCATGTGTTGCCGCTTTAGCATTTCATGTAGTATGGGATTAAGGAAATGGGCTGTTTGCTTGGCACTGTCTTCCACCAGGCAAACATGAACCAACTGGTAGACACCGGGCCAGGGGAGCTGCAGTGACCTGAAATGGGAATCAAACTAGGCAGAGATCCAGAAGACGAGCAGCTATGTAGCATAAAATTGTTTGGAATACAAAAACAAAAAGAAAATTGGGCAGCAATATATAATGTTGATATGACTATAGAAAGTGCAATTCCTCTTGGGATATATTAATAGAAACACTACTTATAAGACAGTGGGGAGGGAGTTATTCTCTCACTAGAAAAGCTGGAAAGTAGAAATAATTGTTCAATCTAGAAAAGGGAGGATGGTGGAAGACATAATAATAACTTCAAAATATAAAAAAGAATGCTAATAAATTGAAGATAATCCATTGTTTCTAGTGTTCATGAAAACAAATAGGAATTTTATTTCTACCAAAAAAAGATTAGAATTAAATATTACAAAAACTGTGATGATATACCTATATATGTAACTAAAACTATGACTAAGATTAGTTAAAAACTAGAACAATCTATCAAGGGTTGCTGAGCAATTTTCATCAGTGGAAATTTTTAAGAACAGGATAATGAATCATTTGTGAGGAAGACTCTAAATACACTTGTTTCTGTGTTAGAGCAGGATATGGACTGGATTACTTCTTGGGATCCCTATCATCCATACATCTCAAATAATCTGTAGTTCTGTAGAAAAATCTACAGTGTTGGGTTTTATATCAGATTAATAAATTCTAATGTTATCTTAAAAAAGGAGAAAAAGGAAAAAATGGGAGCTTTTCTAGTGTTTGATCAAGTATCATTTACAAAATTCTTTTTATGTCTATTCCCACTACTTCAGTTAATGATGTTTTCATTATTGTTTCTTCAGTGTGTAATTTGAAAAGAGGATTAGGTAGCTGTACAGTAGTTTTCCCACTGGATGAAATCTGTATTAAATGCAGCTGCTAAAACATTAGAATAGTTCAAGCATACCTTTTATTTGACAGATATGCATCTATCCCCACTGAGAATTAACCTGAACTAAACTTTCTGATGGACTAAACAGACATTCATTTCCTGGGATGGCCATGAAGACCTGAAACACTTTTTTTTTATTTGACTATCAAAAATCTGGCATACAAATATGTATACAAGAGCTAAAATGCAATCACAGTACTACATTGTTAAATTTATTTCTATTCTTCCTGAAGTTTAATGGCTCAGTTCCATCTTCCTTACTCATTTTCAGTAATATTTTATTCCGGACTACTTCTAATTATAGTAGGCAGCAAGACAAACTAAAATATGACCTGGAGGAATAATAAGGATGGAGTACTTCCTAGTTTTTTTGATCTATAAAACTGCAAGGAACATCCTAGCAATTTAAACAGAACCCTTATACATTCACTAATAAATACTAATTGCTACCTTTTAAGAATAAAGACATGACAGAGTAGAAATCTGAAATTATTCTGTTCTGTGAACCTATTTTTATAAATCCTTAAAGATACTCAGTTGAGAACTAAAATGAGTAAGTAATACATATAGGAGTTTGTGGAGTTTGGATTCTTCATAAAAAATTTTTCCACTGGGACAATAAAATATATAGTCAAATTTTCACTGTAAAAAGATTGTGACAGCTTTATTGGCCTTTAAAAAGAATAGATTTGTCTACTAAGATGATTATCTACAGAACGGACTCCTGTAGTTACTGATCATTAGACAGACAACATCCGATTACAAGGAATCCCTACAAATAAAGTTAGATATCTGAAATAGATTTTAAAAAAAAACAAACACTTTGTAAAAACAAAACCAAAGCCGTCCAAACTGAACCTGTAAAACAGATTTTTAAGTTTCTTCCAAATTCTGGCAGGCTCACATGAAACCTTACTTTAGGAATTTTACTGTAACTTATATTGATAAGGTATTTAAAACATTTTCATAATGTGGAATCACTATGTATAATTTAGGAACTATCAGAGGAGAAATTGTTTAAATACAAATTGATTAAATATTACATACAAAAAATCAAGCTTTGAAAATTGAAGTTGGAAGTTTTATCAAAAGAATTAAAAGACTTTTTTTTTCTGTTGATGCACTATAATGCTGTTTAGTCAAAAGTCGCAGGAACTTATCACGATGAAAAAGTTTTCTCTAGTAAAGGAGAAATAAAAATTGTTATGTAGTTTCTAGAGACCTACCCAATGGGCCAAGGAACTGTTCCTTCCCTGTTAGTATTCCCCTTGTTATTGTACATCCTTCACACTACTGCTGTGGTAACTGTGTTCAGAACTGAACAGATTGCACTGTACATAGTGTACAATGAAGTTAGAGGAAGAGAAAATAGCAGGACTACGCATGACTCTCTCTTGTAACTTTACTGAGGACCTTAAAATATTTCGTATTTTTTTACTGATCTCCTTAGAAATTTTGATTGTACAAAAATCTCAACATTAATATTTTAGCATATCTGTAATTCTTATGACCAATTCAGGAACATTTAAAATAAAAACATAGTAGTCTTACCCTCTTCTCAGAAAATTGAAAAAACTTTCTATTTAAAGTCTTTAAATAGTTTGAAGTAGTCTTTGATTTTCTTTCCTATTTCTAACAGACTGATTCAAGATTTTTGAAGCTGCAAATAGCAAGCTTTCCTGGGTAAAGTGTGGTAAACGGCTTCCCATTTTCACTGATAGCCCTGTCTGGAAGAACAGAGAACGCATATCCTACTTAAAACTTCTCATGTGCTCGAACTTAGAAAGTTTCATATCTTGCCACAGGGCAGGAAATGAGGTTTATTATAAGGGTAGTAGAGGATGAAAAGAGAAAGGCCACTAGAGCTTTTCTCTTATGTCAGCTTTTTTTTTGCTTATAAAGATCAAGGAGAAAGAAGTGTTATTGCTGTGCTACCAAAATACAGCTAATCTGATGGACAGAGCACTAAGAGGAAAGTGGGAAATCTAGTTTGGCTTTAAAGTTTGCCCTCTGATGCGGTGTAACTTTGTACAAGTCACTTCCTTCGGTGAGGCTCTTCACTCTGGTTTATAAAATCATGACAATGAACTTTTCCTTATTTTGAAGAAAAAAGAAAGCATTATTATTTTTACTGGTAAACAGCAGCATCATTGTTAGAAGGAGGTACACCTCTGCAAAGCTCAGCTACTGTTTTCCTGTATACATTTATAACTACATTTTTTTTCTCCAAGGTCTCTTATTAGCACACATTTTTTAATACCAAGTAATTAATTTATCCCCCATTAAGAAATTTATAAATGTACAATTAATTCTTATGTGGTATTTATGTGGAAATAGATACAGTCATATCATTTTTCAATCCAGTTTATGTTTGTCTTGTAATTTCTATAAGAACATCTGCTGTAGTATTTATATCACCAAACATCTGTATAACTACCAACAATAAAACAGAGTTGCCTTACTGAGGTAATGTCTATGAGGTAGCATGTTGGTCCAGTAATGATGACAGGTTCACTCCAGCTGATATTAATACTGTGAGGAGATGTAGCCAATACAGTCACATTTGCTGGAGGACTGTCTGGAGCTGTAGAAAAAAATATGTACATGAATCATGGTCAAAGAAGTTCACCACCACCAAATCAGTAATTTTAGTGGCCAGTAGAGATTATTTTTCAATTTGAAAATAAAACTTTTTCACACATTTACTATTATACACTGCTTAAATATTTTTTCTTTCTCACATATAAAACCTACAGTGTGATTTAGAAACACATTTTTCATTGCAATTACTACAATTTTTCTAGAGTATGAACTGCCTACAACTTCATCTTAAATTGAAATTATAGGGTTTTTTATTTATAAGTTATTTATATGCATTTTACATGACACAAGCAAAACATATATATACGACTATTTGGACAAATAGGCAAGCATAATATATTTGTTTATGTCAAACAAATCATTCAAAGAACAAGAAATTGTGAAAACACAAGGCATTCTGCATCCCAGAAAAAAATTTCCAGCAATGTTGGAAAGTACTAGTACAAATAATTTTATATAGGAAAAAAAATATTTTCTAGGTTTCATTTCAACTTATTCTTAACATGTTGAGAAACTCTGGAAAACACATGCAAAAAAAGTGATAGGAATTGTAATGTTCACATTAAGAAACAGGATTTTCCTAAGATTTCCTTTTGTCAAGGTGATATGTGAATTAACCTAGTTATTTCTTATTCATGAATAAGAAATTAATGAAATCATAAGAACAGCAGTTTTCATTAAGTGGTGTTACTTTTTCGTAACGACTGTGGTAAATTTCAGGAAAATAAAATTTGGAATAGTGACAACAGATTTGTAGATAATGCCAGAACTTGGGTCCATGGTGCCTTTTTTATTGGGTCTGCTACAAAAAACCGACAACTGTGATACATATCAGTGAACACCCTGTTATAGAAGCAACGACAGATTTGTAGATAATGCCAGAACTTGGCTCCATGGTAACTTTTTTTTTTTTTAATCTGCCCCCAAAAATACAACTATGATTAACACAAACCAGTGAACAGTCTGTTATAAAAAAAAATATAAATATGATCATACCTATCCTAATCAGAAGATGCAATCTCTTTTCTCAACAATGATTATGCATGAGTATGTATTTTTTGACCTTTAACCACAAGGTAAGACGGCTTAATGAGGAAAATTGAAGTATATACAAGGCTACTTAGTTTTTTAGGTAGAAAACACGTTAGGAAAAGGAAAAAAAAAAAGCATGGAAAGAGGTATGTAACTATTGAAATTATGTGTGATATATTAATGAGGAGAAGTTATAAAATTTTGCACTGAAAAAGTAAAAATTTTCCACTATGGTTGCAGAATGAAAGAGGAAGATTTGGGAGTTGATAAGGTGCTATGAAGAGTTTAGGGTGTTGGATATAGGAGGTAGATTGCTGTGCTGGGATTAGCAGGAATATACTAGACTTTGTAAGCAGGATCAAATTCAACCATTGGAAGCAGTCCCCAAAAATACTGAATAGCATGGAACAACTGAATGAAGAGTGTAACTGAATGAAGTATGAAAACACATGAAGGGTGATGAAAGAGGAGACTGCTCAGAGAAGGCTGGCTGTTGAGTGGAGTGCTAGAACAGATACAACAAAATACAAGGGCAAATACGTGCCCTAAAAACTAGAATTAGCGCAAATTAAGCTTATTTTGCAGGTAATGTGTGTCAGACTTGTTGCTCAAAGAGTGTCTTTTAGGGTGAACAATGCTTTCAGTAACTTTGGCAGTGGTATTACCTTTATTATCAGCTGAAATTTCTGAAAAATAGTATAAAATGATATATATAGCTTCTCAAGTCTTAGTTTCCAAACCAACTGAGTTTCCAAAGACCATTTTCCATTACTTTTTTATAGCATTAATGGAGCATTTAATCCCTCATTTTTTTTTCAGAAGCCAATTTAGGTTTGTGCATTAGACAATGAAATAATTTTAAAAATTTGTGTGCAATAATTTTAAAGCATAATCTAATCTACAAATTATCCCACCTGAAGTTATTTCTATGGATAATTTCCATATGCAGTTTATATTTGACACATTTTTAGATCTTTGCAAGAAAATTCTAATTGACTATGCTGTATGTAAAATATTTATCTAAGTTAAATCTAAATGTTAATACCTCATTTATTTTCATCATGAAAAGTACAATATCAGTTATTAACTGAATGATACTGAAATTAAGGAATATTTTCTGAAATAACCTGTATAATTAGAAAGAAAACTAGAAAATGAAACGTGTCTAAGATGTCTCATGCCTTGCAAAACCCATCTTCTTAAAAACTGTTTGCTTCAGTGGGTAACTGCCACGTTCTGATTTAGGTTTGTTTGTGAAATGAATCTAGTCAATACGAGGCCATGATATCACTATACCCTTTCTCTTATAAATCACAGCAATTTACTCAGTAGAAATGACCTAGTCTTATTCTCTCATTCCCCCATAATCCAATCACTTCCTCTCATAAGCACTTTTCTCCTGGTTTTCACAATAATGCATTTTCTGTAACTAATAACCATCATTTCCTGATTATCATGCTTCTATCCTTGCACAGGAATGTGGGTCTTATGGAGGTCAGGGTCATCTTTCCCATCCATCTGTGTCCTGATGCTAAGGCAGGAGTTAAGTGTGTTAGCTTGAAGATAAGTCTGGATAGCCCATCATTTAGCATAATCCTCAAAAATAAGACTGAATACTCCAGTCTTCTAACAGAAATTCATGCTTGCCAGTTTGGTTAAGACCAGCCCTTTTTTCTTTTTCCCAACATAAATTAACTGTGAGGTTCAGTTATGTAATTTTATAATCACCTAGGTTACTTTTACCTATATTTAAACATTTCTATCTATATTAGGCCGTATTTACTTTCCAATATTTAGTTCAGAGAGAATGAAAGGAACAAAGAAAACCAAAAACCTCTCTCAGGCAAAACCTCCCAGAAGAAAGGGCATACAACAACAGATGCAATGTTACTGCTTTCCACCATACAGAAACATTTATTTAAGTATACCAAGCCAACTGGGCATCAGCAGGGATTGGAAAGAAGGTGCTGAAAAGAGAAGCATAACCCTCTGCCCCATGCATCTATGTCCTAGCTTTCATGGGACATTCAAACATCTGGGATTTTCCTTTGTATCTCAGTATATGCTGGTATTGGGAGACTTGGCAGTTCACCAAAAAGCATCGCATTGTGCGACTGTACGAGGTGCAAAATGAGGCCAGTGATCTCATTGCCATTCATTTTCCACCTAACACTGACCCTCCAAAGTGATTTTTCTCTTAGAAAGCATGAGTTTGGCTAATCTTATTCTCCTTATAAATGTAAAAGTGAAACTTGGGGTAAGCACAGGGATGAGGGAACAAAGTTTCCCCAGCTACGGAAAATATTTCTTGCCCTTTCCCTTACTGTGACACAACTCTGTGATCTTCTGCACTGGTAACTATATAAATCTAGCTTATGTTGAAAATATTTCGTCTTGCAGAGTAGATTTGGCTCTTGGGTAATCCATCAGCTAAGCAACAACAGTGCCGTCAAACTACTTTATGAGACAGTAGGACAATTCCTGTGAGAATAATCTGCAGGACAGAAGGCTGAATAGTTTATCTGTGTGATGTGAGAACCGGACTGTATTGAACAACCTGTAACATTTTCCACAGAGTAGCATTATAACAATTTTCATACAGAATGCAGCCATTATTTTTTTTTTTTTTGAAACTTGCAAATGAGTTAAAGAATCTTAAAAAGAATTCCTGCAGCCTTAAATTTACCTTCATAATGAACAGCTGAAATAGCTAAGATCCTCACCTTAGTAACTAGATATTCAGAACTTTTAGGTATTTCTGCTTTAACAGAACAGTCAAATATTCAGCACTTGTAAATTTAAAGAATATTTAGGGTTTCTGTTATGAAATTTTTTGCTGCTGTTGAAGTTTCATCTCCTTATATTCTGGGAACTGAGTTTTCAGCTTAAATGCAGTAAGTTTCTGAATGTAAGAACTATAGTATTTTCTTTAGGGTTGAGAGAAACAAAATTTTCTGAGAACCCAATTATTTCTGAAGAAAAACGATTTGACTATTATTTCACAACCAAGGTAACTTGCCCTTTGGCAGAAGCAATGTCTTACAGAGGCATTTCTTGAAAATCAGAAACAGTGGCTAACTTCTGCCCTCAAATCTGCAAACACAACTCCCATTGATTTTATGGGCTAAGTACTCAGGCTATTTGACATAGCAGCTAAGCACCCTTAAGCCCTAACAGACCATGTATATTGGCTGTGTACCAGCAGGCTAATCCAGAGGATGCTTGGCCCAGTCCGCGAGGGAAAGGAGAGGGGGATCGACACCTGTTCTCTGGATACACTCCGCAAGGCTGCCCAGAGTGCTGGATCTGTTTTGCGCATCCTGAATTTCTCTTCCCTGCTATGGGCACTACCCTTTGCAAAATTCTAAATTTTTTTAGAAATATTTCACAATATTTCTAAAGACTAGTCTTTGCAAAGTATGAGGTCAGGTAGCTAGAGACCTGCCCTTGCTAAAGATCAACAACTGCTCAGGGAGGCTCCCAGTGCTGCTGAAGCACGCCAAAACTGCCAGCTGGCTACTCAGCTGTGACATGTCGCCTTCCTCTTTTTCCCTCCTCAGCTGATGGCCATTACCCCAGGAAAAAGACCGGCACCCAGCCATGATATCTGGAATAGTGCCCATGCTTCCTTGACTCCACGGTGGTGTGTTTTATAGGCAGCTCATCTCTTGATCTGTCACTGATTTAGTTCACAGGAAATTTGTTGCTGCCCACTTCCCTCACCAGGGACACAGGCTAGCAGCCCCACATGCTTGGGCTGGGAGAAATGGTGGAATTTTTTTAACTTCTACCCCACCACCATTTGTTAAACTAGCTAATAGAGCACACAGAGGACCCACTGCTGAGAATGACACTGTATTGGTATGCAAATGGCTTGGGCAGCCTAATGAGATTTTTATACTTTTAACTACCATCTCCTCAGTGGGACTGATAGGAAACTAGTTCTCTCTTAAACCAAATTATCACTGTCCAGAGAGGAAATCATAAAGAGGATCCTAAGTTTATGTGATTATATGTGTTTTCATTATCTACCCCTCTGTCTAGTTTAAATCTCTAACTTTCCTAAACTCAGCAACAATTTTTTGAAGATAAGTATTTGCATATATCAGCAGCTGAGATCTATCTATCTAATCTCCCCAGAGCTGCTGGCTCAGGAGTTGCACAACTTCTGTTAGCTATTTTCTGCTCCACCTGGGTTGTTTTTTTTCACTTTAATTTAAAATATTGCATTAATTTACAGGCATAGCATCCCTATAAGAACCACTGGGTAAAGAAAGTAAGTGCACGTGAGAATGACTCTGCAGCTGATTCCAGTACTTCTCAGTCCAAAGGACTGCTTCTGCGCTTTATGTGATAAATGGGCTGTTGTGATGTTCAGTACCATGATGTTCAAATCTCTTTGCCCTTTGGGGCTTAGAATTTCTCTATTGCAATTTCTCATCTGCAAATGAAGACAACAATTCCTTACCTAGTAAACAAACTGTGAGCTATCTAAGATAGATATCACTGTACAGAGAGTGCACAGGTACTATGAGGAGCATTATATAAAACCCTCCTGAATTCACATCACATGACTGTAAAAACATGAGTGGAACAAAGTAACTATGTGCAGCATTGAACAGTTCTTGGTACACAGCTGTTTAAGGCCTTGGTATCTTTATTATGATTACTTTGCAAGGGGAAAGGAGTGAAAGAGCTGTGGCTTAGGCCACTCATGGTGGTTCTCAGTTGCTCTACACAGGCCAGAGGCTGGATCTCAGATGTGCTCTGACCTAGGCTGGCTGCAGACTGGGAGGGTCATATGTCCCCATAACAACTTCCTAAATAATTCATGTTTCACGTCCCCTTATTTTAAATGCCTAGTGATGATTATCTGTGACAGCTAACTCTTCTCTTACTTGGAAACCAAAATCCTCAGTTGAGGTGTGACAATCCTAATATGTGTCATGGCAGTCCTTAGGTGTCACATGGCTACTCTGATTTGTAAGCTCTTTAGGTAGATATGGTGTTTGAAAGAAATCTTAATTCCTCTGAAACTTTTGCTTAAATTCTATTGCCAGGAACGTACAGCAGAATTTCAGGAAAGTGTTACTATGTTAGAGAACAGACTCTTAGTCAAATAATTTAAAAAGGACAACTTTTCATTGACATACTCTGCATGTGAAGATGTATTGAAAATGGCATATCAACACAAAATAGCCAAAATTCAGATTTACCAATTCTAGACGTGGATTAGGGCCAAGGAATGAAAATGCTGTTAGGTAAGCAGTAAATATAGTAGAGCATACAAAAGGCATTAAAATCTGAAGCAGTGTCAAGTATGCATACCTAACACATGATTTATATCATGCTATTTCATATGTGAAGAGTAATCCTTATTAACTTAATATTCTAGGTCTATGAAGAAATAACTTCTACCAAGTGTTCTTGCTTATTTGGGTGACATTGTTATAGCAATATGACACATGGCAAATAACCTTACTTACAGCCAGGAAGTGTTTGCGTAGAAATCCAAGGTGAAGAACTGCCATAACCAACATTCGTACTGGCAGCAACTGCAAATCTGTACCATCTGTATTTTTTAAGTCCATACACTGTCTCTTCTATCCAGTCATCCACCACATTTTCATATAAATATCGATGCATCTCATATTCAATACATTCCTTAGTCTCCCAGTCACTGCAGTGGATGGACTGTAGCTGTGTGGTAATCTTGTAGTTTTGGAAGTAGCCAAGGATAGATTTTGGTGATCTCCAATTCAAGGTCACACTTGTTGACTGCACATTGGAAAAAACAATATCCCTGGGAGCACTGGGAACTACAAATGAAAACACTTGTAAGATATCTTCATTTTAATGAAAAGTGATTGCAACTATAACCCTTTTATCCAGTGTTTAAAAAATATTTTAATAAGCATATCTAAAGACCATGATTCAATTTCACATGCCTAAAAAGGAGTAATTCCATTGGTGTAAACCACACCATGAATATATAGGTGGCATACATTTACTATAGCTTTTGAAATAAAGAAAAATACTTTTAGGTGTGGCATGCAGAGACAGCTTTGAGAGGTGTGACATTGCTGTTGCTACATTTGGGGCTATGTCTCAACTGGGGGAGGGAATATCAAGCAAAGTTATTTTTGGCCTACCCATAGCATCTTTTATTGCTCTTGCTAACTGGTATTCCTCACCTCTTGCTTAGAAATACTCATTTGTCCCTCTCTTGGTAACATATGAAATCCTCAACCAACACTTCAAGGTTTCGTAAGTGTCCTGTTTCACCTTCTGAATGGAAAGTATCAATACATACAGTACGTCTATCTTTATATAAATGCTTTACAAGCTGTTCGGTAAGCAACAAATTAAAAGAACTCAACAGGAAGAGCTAAATAATATGGCAATACAAAGCAAAAAATGAAACTTCCCATAAACTTTGCTTCCATGTATTTATATACATACATATACATGGGTATACACAGGTTATATTCATGTGCATGGAGACAGAAGTAGTGCATGGATGTACATACATACACATACACACATGCACACACATTTAACCATAACTATATTAAGCCAAGAGTATACTCTCAGCTCTAGCAGCCTGGATGCAACACATGGTTTTGTGCTATATCACATAGTCATACAGTAAGCTAATATTATCTCTAAGACTTTGTAAGATAATACTAATACTCTCTCTGGCAAAAACTGGGCAGAGAAATCAGCTCAGAAATCATTTTGTGCACTTAGCTTTAAAGAGTACTTTAGAATCTTTGGGGGAAGAAGTACCGCTGGTAAAAGAAAAACACATGATACATCCTCAAACTGAAATTGAAGAACCCCCAAGGCTTACATAAAGAACAAAAGGATCCCAGACCAATGTTACTGGGGAAGAAAGAGAAACGCCTCCATTTTTTTCCAGCCTTGTGGGAATATCTGATCCCTGCTTTCATCTGCAACAATATGTTTATCAAAAATCATCATAATGTAACAAGCTGAAGCCTCTCCACTAAATATGAATATTTAGCGAGGAATGTAAATTCTGAGTCAAGCCAAGCTGTGACAATGAAAAGGTTGAGAAATTCAAATTCCCTTTAAATGAGCCCAAAGCAGGTGGAATCTGCAGGAGAGGGGCCAGGCACAGGAACTGTGGGCGAAGCTTCCCCTGCCCTTCCGCTCAGCTCTCACGCACGCGTACACAACATAGCTGCATGCAATAGCCCCATATGCTCCCACCCTGCCACACACTAACCAGACACAGAACAAGAGCAAACTGTCTAAGAAAGAAGTCTTTGCTACAGCCAACTTTCATCACCATACTCCATATGATTAAAATTAAAGTTGTTTTGCTCTGTTGCTATTAGCATGAAGAGAAGAGAATTAAAGGAAGTAGTAAATAAATGCAAAACGGGCATTAACCTTCTTGCTTGATCACAGTTTTGGAGATTAAATACTCTGTCCACTTTCAAAAAAAATAAACACTGCAATATTTTCATAATACCCCTATAAACCATATTTGCCACTTGTATAAATGACAAGAAAAAGGCTTAGTTTGACCATCAGTTAATGGAAAATAAAGGTAGATAAATGTTCAATAGTTACTTTAAAAAGTCTGCATTTCTCATTAAAAATTCCTCTACTCTATTGTAATATAAGCTATTTATATCTGTTAAGATACCGCAAAGAATATGAATCGTACACACTCAATTATGACGATGATAAAATGTGGGATAGAATGGATAAAACTATTTGAGTGAAATAAAAGTTACCACCCAGTCTCACTCTGAACTTGACTTAAAAGTATTTTTAAGACACAATACAATATATTCCAGGAATTAAAAAATTAAGAGTCAGCAGTTCCAAAGACATCAGAACAGATCAAAATTTAAAGAATTTAAGAAAATACAATTCTCTTCCTTCTCATTCAGAGAGGCTTACTCTTTTTTTGATAAGGAATATGACCTCACCTTCCCAGGCACACGACTCCAGGAACCCTTGCTGTGATAAGAACAGCCAGCATTGGCAGGTTTGGAATAAAAGTGTGAAAGTATGCAACATGGAGATGGAAACTACTGGCTCTAATGCCTCTTAGTCTACCATTACCAACTTCCATCTACTGAAAACTGATTATTGGACTATACTCCAATTTAAAATAAAGATGATCAAATACTGAAACAGGGACTTGGAATAAAGTAGACAGTAACTGGTTGCTTGCTGGGTGCCAAGAAGAAAGTAGAAATATATACCTTCACTTGCTCAAATGTGCAGCTGGTAGAGCTGTGGCTGGCACAGCTGCAGTCTCTGCACCTAAACCAAGGCAGGTAAAAGAGGCTAGTCAGAGGCAAAAAGAGCAGTGCCCATGTTCTAGCCAGCACAGTGGGCTTTCCTTCTCAAGGAGAGTACCGTGTTCCCCCAGTTTCAACACGGGTGATGTCATCAAAAAGAATTGAGACCTAGCAGTGTTGCAGTAAAGATAGAACAGACGCTTGGCAGTTTCACAGAGCTAGAAATTATATCAGGAAAAATAGCAGTGGCTCTGATTTGTGGGCTCTCACACAGACCAACAAAAGTCTAATAAAGCTAACCTCCACGAGCTCTCCTTGTATCTGGTGGAAAGAGACAAACTCCCGGAGAGCGGAGAAAAGAATGGAGGGCAGAAAAATGATGTTTCTTTTTCCTTCTGTCCTTTTACAACTGGTTGCAGAGGGAGCCCACACACACTACCCTCACAAGGCTGAAGATGGTATCCGTGATTATCCCGATGAGTAACACTACATGAAAACCACCATTTTGAAAGATAAACTTTCAGATATCATAATAACAGACAGATTAGACAAGTACTTCTTCTTTCATACAAAAGCTTTTATTCTTCTTTTATGTCATCATTTCCAGTTTACTAAGACTCATATAAACAAATATTTCTAACCCACAAAAGAAAGTGTCAGCAGTGCCTAGACAGACCTCGAAAATGGAATCAGAGCCTCAAACATTAGTCAGTTTAAAATCTAGTCCATTTTATCTCATTGCTTACATAGTCAAATCAAATATAAATGTAATCTTGCATTAGAACAAATGAAAAGATGTGATTTGAATCCGGAGCAAATCAAAGAGGTTTGCTCCGGGGGCCATGGTGAGGCGCAGTGACACCCAGTGGCACACTGTCTCTTGCATTTGATGATTGTGTTCAATGAGACAATTTCAAGACAACTATGCTATTGGGTTACAGATACAAAGAGGATTACAATTACTCTAGCATGGAGAATCAGATTTCCATTCCTCAAGAATGACTAAAATTCCCCCCCAACTTTTTCTGTCCACAGATGGTACTGATTTGAACAAACCATTCCATGCTTCCTAGAGTAATCATGCAGCTTGTTTAAATTTTCTAAACATGACTCAACTATGATGAAGTGATCACTGTTCACACTAAAAACAATTAAAGCCAAAAATTGCATCTTTGTCAATTATTCTTTCAGATTAAATTGGAACTGTAAGAAACACTTATGTGTCTGCTCTTATACACTGCTGTTTTGATATGTTCCTAACAGGAACTTGATTATTCTTCCTGGTTTTCCAAAAAGGCATGAAAACAGCTGTCTTTGTGGTGGTATAGGACACTAATTATCTAGAATTGTGCTCTGATTAGCTAGTTGGCATTCTAGTGCTAATCTCATCTTTAAATTTACCAGGAATCACAGGTAGGCCCCCTTAAGTCTCATCATCATACATCTAATGGTCCTTCCCTATTGAATTATATTGCATTTGCTATAACTCAGCTAGCTCTGGGAGTAGGGAGTTTTTCAAAGTGTGACATTTTTGGTGCAATGTACTCTATCGTTTTCCATATAATAGCTTTTAATTCAGTTTCTGAAAGCCAGCCAGCGAGCTGGGAGAGAAGCTGACCATGAAATGCTGGTGAATTCAGTTTCTGGACTGGAGGAGGAATGACGTATTTTCAGGTTCATCCACCATTGTTCATATGATGGCCAAACTCCAACGAAAAGTCCCTGAAGCCAGATCCACATGGGATTTTAAGCTCCTAAAACCTATTTACGTGCCTGAACTCCCACTGAAGTTGACAGGAAGCTAAGCACCTAAATAGAAGTTACTTTCACAGATCTTGGCCCTGGTTCCCCACGCTTATCTGGCTGCAATGCTAACCAGCCTTTCCAAAGCTGGTGGACTGCTCTGAGATTAAGTTTTTATTTGAGAACCTAAATGAAAGGAAATTCCTGGTAGAAAAAGCACCAGAACTGTGTTAAGACTCCGGTCAAGTTGAACTGTGCCAGTGCAACTGGTTTAAATCAACAGAAACACTCGGTAGAAAAATCGTACAATGCAAAGATAACCTAAGGGCAGTAAAGGACACACACACACAAAAAAATCTACTGAGAAAAGAGAGAAGTTATGGCTTTCTGTAAAGACTTCTGTGGAGAGCAACGACTACAGCTGCGCGGGCCGGGAACAGAAGACGGTAATATGATATGGCATAGTTCCTAACGAAGTTAATAAAAAAAAGTCTGCCTACAGAACAGCTGCTTGTAGCTGGAGTTTGGATTAAAAGAACAGCGGCAGCCTAGAAGTCAGTTGGGTGGTATTAAGAGCATCAATAGGATGAAAATGAAGAGCAAAGTAGAACAGATAGCAGTGGGCACACAGCAAAAGAGTCTTCAGAAAATAGAGGAATCTGAAAAGAAAACGAATATTCTTTATTAATTATCTCTATTCGTTTTTGAAAGTTTAGTTACCCAAACAAGTTCTCTGGGTTAAGTTGATATCACTGATCATACCAAATAGTACCCTAGTATAGACTGCTAAT